TTTTTTGATTCTTTGTGTTTTACCCTTACTCGACTTACCAGGCCTTAAGATGTGTTTGCTCTTCTTCTGGTCTACTCCGTTTATAGAAGCTAAGTTCATTAAAAGTCCATCAAATTAATCACAGTTCAATTAATTGCCTTCATCCTTTTCATACTTACAGCAAAAATTGTTGGCGAGCCTGTCAGTATGGTCGAATGATTGTACCTTATCAAGAAAGCGGAGACGAGTATCTTATGCTGAAGAATTTGGCCAAGTATTTTCGTCATAAGTTTGCTATCGGACGGAAGTGGACCAATGACCGTATGCTAAAGAACGTTAGCTTCAAATTGTTCAAGGTAGAAAATGTACCATCTTTCAAGGGTTCACCGGACAAGAAGAACGAGCTGATTAACGAAGCAATAAAGACAGGTGATCTGTATAGCGGCGGTATGTACTGTTTTGCTGTTGCTGCGATAGTCTTACTCTTTTTCAACAGTTCAATGTATCAAGCCATTAACCCTTTAAGCCCCAATATCCACAAACAAATTCTCCAAACTGATCTCTATACATTTCCTTACAGAATTAGTTGGGAGAAATTGATAAAAGATCAGAGATTTTTCTCTTTGTGATCATTTTATTAATTCNACTTACCAGGCCTTAAGATGTGTTTGCTCTTCTTCTGGTCTACTCCGTTTATAGAAGCTAAGTTCATTAAAAGTCCATCAAATTAATCACAGTTCAATTAATTGCCTTCATCCTTTTCATACTTACAGCAAAAATTGTTGGCGAGCCTGTCAGTATGGTCGAATGATTGTACCTTATCAAGAAAGCGGAGACGAGTATCTTATGCTGAAGAATTTGGCCAAGTATTTTCGTCATAAGTTTGCTATCGGACGGAAGTGGACCAATGACCGTATGCTAAAGAACGTTAGCTTCAAATTGTTCAAGGTAGAAAATGTACCATCTTTCAAGGGTTCACCGGACAAGAAGAACGAGCTGATTAACGAAGCAATAAAGACAGGTGATCTGTATAGCGGCGGTATGTACTGTTTTGCTGTTGCTGCGATAGTCTTACTCTTTTTCAACAGTTCAATGTATCAAGCCATTAACCCTTTAAGCCCCAATATCCACAAACAAATTCTCCAAACTGATCTCTATACATTTCCTTACAGAATTAGTTGGGAGAAATTGATAAAAGATCAGAGATTTTTCTCTTTGTGATCATTTTATTAATTCTCATAGATGTTGCACTTGACAATCTATGGATATTGTTAGGAGAAAATTGATGTTGGTCACTATTGGGACATTCTATCATTCTATCATTCTAATCATAATACCTGGGTACTCGGCAGAGAAAAAAGAAACACCTCTCTGAACTGGACAGCGAACCTATGAGTTTGGAAGTCTATTGTAGCCTATTCGCAACAAGAGTTAAATACACTAACACAGAATTGGCTAAAAACGGAGCCAGTTACTTGACAACTAAAGTGGATGTAAAATTGATTTTTGGTTGGAACAAGCCGGCAAGAAGTGTTGTGCTGCTTCTCAAATTATGCTATATTTAGTGCATTTGTGGTAAAACGAATTTTGAAGGTATTTTGAAGCCTGTAGGTCCACGGTAGTCTCTGGTCAGACATGTGTCCACTAGGTTTCCAGGAGCATAACGGGCTCCCATCGACCTACAGCTCAGGTGATCAAATAAAGGCATATTCCCAGGGAAAGAACCGTTGTGTTATCCGGTTCGTTCAAGTAATAACCTAATTACAGTTGAACATCTCTAAACAGCCACTTTGTTATTGAGTCAAATGGCCATTGATTGTGTAGAGAGGTAGTCATTAGTTGAGATAAGAGGTTAGTAGACTGGGATAACTGACCACCTACCACTCCCCTAAGTCAACATTAACACATACTTCTCGCTTAGGACAAAATTGTGACTTATGGGAGGGGTAGGTGTCTGTTTTCCAGAAACCTCAAATGATCCGTAGACTGTGGGGGTTGAATTTCATTCTTTGCCTTTCGCAGAATCTTCGCAACATGAAGTCCCTACATTTCGCGCGCACCAAGTTGAACTGAAAAACGCGATTTACGGTCACTTGAAAAAGTATCAAGTTATCGATGGCTCAGGTGATGCAATTGTGATAGAGATCACAAATAACGAGACGATTCCAATTTACGTATGCGTGATGTCCTACCAAGCTGATGGTTCCATTGTGGTCTTACACCCACATAGAGACGTAAGCATCTTATACGGTTCCATCAAATTGTGATCTCTTTCAGCCAGTTTCATTTCAGAAAATGTCAGTTTGATCCTCCAAAGAATACTCATGTTACTATGGGGTTGCATTGACAAATACACTGTCAATCAATGCAGCGAAACCAATTCGAAAATCAATCCGATTTTATTCCAACTTTGTCCTCTCAATTTGTCTCAGTTTCCATTCATCATGGTCATTTGTTCGGTACTCCCGCGCCTTACATTTCATTTTCTTACCCCGTCAGATCAGAATACTGGCATACTTATGCTTTGCTATTATCAGTCTCAAGTCTAAAGACCAGGGCCCAGTTGTTCGAAGGATGGATAGCGGTATCCATTGGATAAATCTCTATCCAGTGGATAGCGCAATTGGTTTTCCTTAATACTTTATGTATTACACTTTATGTATGTTAGACTTTATGGTGATTTATCCAGTAGATAGTGCTATCCAGCGTTTGAACAACCAGGGCCAGACGTTCAGACTTTTTATTGCAACAAGTTTGACACTTCGGTTGAGGCATTAAAACGTCGAATAACGTTCCTCATTTTAGTTTTTCTTTTTATTGCAAAGAAAGTAAAACATGCAGTCTTAAAACTTTAAGAACTAAACGTGTTGTTTTCTGCGTGAAATCAGGTGTGCCATAACTTGCAATGCTGTAATGGAAACTTTTCGGCAATAACACTTTCATAAGTGCAAAGGGATAATCTTTTCCCCATTTACAGTTCAAAGAAGAAGGCCAGCGTTACTCGTATACCTGGATAGGTTGTTTTCTTTGCAGTATTTTAGTCGCCCTTGGTATAATTTAAGGCTATTATACGTTTTTAAGATCGTTCATTATCAGCGAGTTAATGTCAACAGTTTCACTGGTTTTTATCTCTGTGTTTTCCATTTTGGATCCTTGTTCAAATTTCTAGGGTCAAACTGAGGTTCTGAGGAAAGGTGAGTCGACGAGGACGATCAAGAGAGTTCTTCTCGAACCTGAGACAGCTCGTCGGATGGCTGAACCAGATTTTGACAAGCCGAGACCCGAGTATTGCGATGATGTACTTATTCTGTATGCTACATCGGAGCCCACAGACTTCAGCCCTCTCATTCAGACGGCGATCGAGCTTAGTCCTAAGTTAAGTACAAGAGGACCCAACCCGCCAGATGTACGTAGTTTTAGCAATTTAGCTCTCTGTTACCCAAGTACCATTACTTTTAATAGTTTTCTAATTAAAACGATAACAACAACAGCAGAAGTAGCAAAATATCATCCCTTAGAATGTCATTAACAAAGATAAGGAACAAACCACGTAATACCCCAAAGTAATATACTTCATCCACCACAGGATAGTAGAGAAAACCATTTTTTACAGCGTTGCGAGTGATACCTATAAAAGGTGTGTCAAATCGAGGGGAGCTCCCCCTTATTTTTTCAGACCAAACGGAGACCTCAAGATTTGGATCCACCACTGAAACAGTACTGATAAATTTGGTTATGGCGTAAATCATGGAAAAGCTATGACTGTATGGCACTTTAAACACACAGTTATTATCAGGAAGTTTAACTTCGTGATATTAAACCTTGATTTGCCTTAGACTCAAGAGTACAAAGCAGTTTTACAGCTAAACAAACAGATTATCGATGAGACGTAATATCGGCTGACAGCTTTTACTTGCGTCACACACGAGACTTTAAACTTAGAAACGTCTTTCGCATCATAATGACATTGACTGCTCAAATCTGTAATATGGTAATTTATTTTATTATTGTGGGTTGAAGACTCCATCCACAGATTCAACAGTACTGATATTTTTCTTTTTCTTGTTTTACTATTTTTTACTAGGGGTTCCGCCTTAGCTTTGCGAATAATTTTAGAGATGCTCTTCGACCTCCACGCTCTGGCCGACAAGGACAGAAAGAATCCAGTAAATGGCTCACTCTCAGAAGGGATATCAGGATTTTTTACAATGAAAATCAACAAATTTGAAGAAAAATCGGGTTTCAAAGTGTCATGGTCTGTCTGTTATTCGTTTCGTTACTATCTATGACAAGTGATCATAGGCTAGATCAGCTGAGCTTCCCCAAACAGTAAAAAACAAAACAAGTTTTTTGCAAGGTCAGCTTTAATAATGTTATCAGCGGTGTTAAGAAAAAATGAGCAGTTCATATTCTCTTGGTGGTGTTTAATCTCAGCAAATGGGTCCTTTGTAGCATAACCGACTCATTTAGCAATAAGTCTTAAGAAGTATATATAGTAAAAACGAAATTTCGATTAGTTGGAACACACTGAAAAGAAGTTAATTGTTTAGTTCACCTATGTGTCCTACATATCCCATCAGCACTTTGAATGATCACAGTACGTTGATAGTGGAAGCCAAAAGTCATGTCAAAATTAGGTTAAATGTATTTGACTTGATGAGAGAGTCCGACCTACCTTAGCGGAAGTCATCCTACATCCTCATGATGACTTCCGGCTCTGTAACCAACACATCTATTCAGGACAATCAATTTAATTGTAAGACGAAAGTGTTAAAGTAAATTTAATATTTAATAAGAAGGTAAAAAAGATGCTTATACATGTATTCTGCAACAGTAAGTGTCTGTTTTTGGTCGGCTTTTGTAGATACAGCAAAAATGATGGGCCCTATGCAGCAATCAGTAGGAAGTTTTTACAAAAAAAGAGTAACAAATTTATAGAAAAACATCGTTAATGACAATAGTTAATTGAAAATGTAAAAGATAGAAAAAAAGGATATAGAGAGATCTTAACAAAGCATGAATTGTTTAATATTAACTGGCCTATTTTAGGTCTATTTTAGATTTTTTTTGCTGTTTCCCTTATTTAGTTGTAAGGATTTGAAAAATCATGTGATGTTTATGTAATGTTAAACCTATAGAGGGTACATATATACAAATTTAAATAAACACAACAACCGGCGATTTACAAGACTCTAGGAAAAATAAATGAAATAAAGAATATGACTATGGCGACGACGAATACTCCTAGCTTGAGTCTGCCTTTGTTCCCCTTGGAGTTTCCGTTTTCTTTGTTTTTTTTGCAGTCGTCAAGAAATGGCTTTGTCCTTCCTTTTTTGTTCGCCTGCGAACAGAAGTTACGCTGTTGAAAAAGACGGTAATCCATCACCTGATAACTATACACTAAGCTGCCCGAGTCAATCTGACTTTTTGATAACAGAGAAATTAATTTGCGTCGCGTGATGCGTGATGTTAACTAACACAGCCGCTATCATTTCTAGCCCATTGCAGGTGGGGGAGTTATTAATCCCTTGTAACTCCAAATCCTATTCAATACATTATCAACATGTCGCAGTTCATCTTTTTCCTGCGCAAACAAACCACTGGTTAAGAAATAATATCAGCTGCATGAATTGTTTTCCTTAAAAAATATCGCGTACTTTACCTTACTTACTGCTTGAAAATCAGGAACATCTTTTAAAACTTGTCCCGTAACCTGATGGCAGTGATTGATGGGGCAGGTACTCAAAGATTGGTCGATGACTGTATCAAAGCCGGCTTTACCTGCTACCTCTGTAACATTCAAAACATCATGTAATGAGGTCTTGTATTATTACAAAACCATGTGATGTGATTCTGATGTCTTGACATGTGATTGTCTATTCCAAGAAAGGCAGCCGCTTAGATCAGTTCTCTCCACTTCAAAGAAAATAGTGGGTACAAGTTGGCAACCTCCAGAAACAACTAGTGATTTGAACCAGTCGTGATTTGATTTCACGAGAAAGCAGAACTCCAAGAAAATGTGGTACATAGCTGAAACTAATTAATCCAGCGTAAGCACCATGAGCGGGTACAAAGCAAAGGTCATTTTCAGTTTTAGTGAGACAGCAAAAAATACTATCCTCTAGGACCATACATACCGCGATTGCTAACTCTCGCTTTGATTTCTATCTTTTCTTCTACTGTGTCAGGCTTTGACTGGGACGCAGTTGCGATCGCTTCTAAGTCTCCTCTACTATCTAGTCTGTTCTCGCCCTGCACTCGTTCTGTAGCTTCTTCCCCCTCAGACCTCATTTTATCTGGTTGCCTCTTTCCTAAAAGATAAACTGGATTTTACTAAATTGAAATCTAGTTTCAATTATTGAGTATTGAAGGTGATACATTATGCGCACATCGATCTCTGATATCGCTTAATAGCTACAAATGAAGCCAATCTGAATTCTCTTTGACGAACTACATTCATCAGTCAAATACAAACAGGTGAGTGAAAACTTAAAGCATTTAAGATTACCTCTTCTTGTTTGGAATGAGCAACAGGAGGGGAAAAAAGCTCTTTTTCTTCTGCTGCAATTGATTGAATAACTAATACAGTACGCGCGCTCCGATTGGCTGAAAAGCTGACTTCGTCTCGGGTCATAACTGTCTTGTTTATATCAGGCTATGCAAACAAACAAAGCCAACGTCTTCCACTGTTTACATAGAGCATTTTGGTTCATTAATACAACCAGCAAAGCGTTAATTGCTTACCTCTGACCAAAAAAAGCATCTCTTTTACCAGGCTTTTGCATTGCCGTGACCAGCTGAAACTTTGTTTGAAATCTTTCTTTAGTGTTTGCGCATCTTGCAACCTTTCTGCTCTGGGTTGCTCTTTAACAGCTTTGATTGCTGCAGCCCAGTCCATCGCGTCTTCAGAGTCCACTACACATGAAGAAGCCAAACGGTTGTTCATCTTTTTAAGAGCTTCTGCCAGTCCCGAGTTTCCGCCAACAAGAATAGGTAAACCAGCAGAGAGGGCTTCTAAGGCAGTCAAGCCAAAGCCTTCTGTTCTTGAAGGCATAATGGCGAGATCCACCTCACAAAACTGCCTGGCGAGTTCTTCTCTGCTTTTGAACCCACGTACGGTTAGTTGATTTTTAGAGATCCCACACTCAAGGAGGTATTGCGTCACCTTTTCCTTCTCACCCTTAGCTGCTCCAACAAAGTAAAGATGATACTTCGAATCCTTTAGTTCTGAAATCGCCTTCGAAGCTATGTCATAGCCCTTGAGCTTAAAATCTTCTTGGTCACCACGACCAAACACCAACACATAAAATTTGTCACGATCTTGTTTCGGCTGCGTAAGTTTGTCAAATTCTTGAAAGATGCAAGGGCTGGGCACTATTTCGAAGACCCTCTTCTCCTGGTAAGAGAGAAGATACCTTTCGAAGTCTTCAGCTAACTTCGGTCCAACAGCAACCACAAGGTCGGCCATAGCACTGAGCTGCACCTCCGTTTGGTGCTTATCTTCGCCGATGGAAATGTTGCGGCCGTAAGTCTTGTGCATCGAAAGTTCTTCCGGGGCAGTATGCTCAAACTGGATCCAGAGACACTCGGGGTATAACTGTCTGATCATTTGGGCTTGTTTTCCCAACTTCGTTCCATGCCCAATCACAACGTCTATCCAAAAACTCTCATACGGACGAAAGCATAGACAATCAAGAGGTTCAAAACCGGGGCGTTTCTGTGCTTGTATTATAGTGATGCCATATAATCTGTAAGCCATTCTCTTTTCGTCTTCACTACACTCAGAAACGTAAAGACTAACCTGTAGCTCCTGATGTTTTGCCAATTCTATGGCTAACAGTCTGTTCACAGTCGGCAGCCCGCCCTTTGATGAACCCCATTCTGAACATAATAGGGTGACTTGCACTTTCGATCTGTCCTGGTTACAGGTTGTCAAGGTCTGGTGAAAAGCTTAAAGTAAAATAGTCGTCTTATTAAAAGTTGTGATAAGATGTCCTTGCCAATATGAAAAACATTTAAGAACACGAATATGGAAAAATCCGAATAACTTTTACTATCGAGTTATCAAACAGAACGTAGAGGACAACTGCATGTAAATGTCCTAGCGCTTTAGTTTTCTGTTTTCTGCTTTCCGAACCTCTCCCTCCAACTTCGCATTCTTGTTCCCAGGTCTTTGTCCAGAGCTGACTAGCGTACAACGTCGTACTCTGGAAATTTTGTTCGTTCAATTTACAGCTCAGGGACTCGTATTTTTAGTCTTACTTTACATCGTCTTTTAAGGTGTGATATTCTGGGTTGCTAATTCATAACTTTACATGTAAAATACTTACAGAAAAATGCCTATTATTCGAAACAATATCACACACGAATGATATCCATAAACTGTATGAACAAAAAGAGATATCCAAAAATTTTCTTACTTGGAATTGTGTTTTGTCGTACATTGTTGTTTTCCATGACCTAGGATTAAGAAAATAGGTATTAGAATTGCCACGACCGGGAGATGATTTAGGATGTGTTCGATTGATCGTATTCCGGAATAGGAATAAGCAGAAATTTGTGACAAATCTCTTCGATCGCGAATTTGTGGATCACTGAAATGTTACATTGATCTTAATTACTACATTTCTTACTAGATTTCTATATTTGATCATTCAATTGAAACCAAAACAAGTGCTTTTTAGAGTTTATTCCAGGCATTATTATTCCGGAATGCGGTCACTCGAACGCGCCCTAAGTAGCAACTTGAGCACTTCACAGTAACCCATAATGAGTTAGGACAAATTGGGCTGCAAAAGTACCCCAGGGGTAGTCGTGTTCGATTTCTCCGGTATTAACTAAATTCGTGGTGGAACTGGGTCCTTTATGAGCGGCCGATTAGTTTGCACAACCCAGGCAAAGTAGTCATGTTATGAGAGTCTCAATCATACTCTTTTGGAACAGCAGTGTGATTTGACTGTTTATCGTCCCCTTTGAATTGATAGAATAGGATGAAGGATAAACAGTGATCAGTTATAAATGAGTATAAAAAATGTTAGTTAGAAACAAAAAAGACGCTTACATTCAGCCACTCGTAGAGCGTTTCTTCAGGAATAACTTGGTCAGCAAACGGACAGAAGTATGGGCCGTCGGTCTTTAAAGGCACGTAGTGAGCACAGTCTTCGTGTCGACATCGTTGAGTGCCATGCCAGATACAAAGGCCTGCTTTGCCTGCGCACACTGGGCAGCGGACAGAAAGTTGCCATGGCACTGCACGCAGCCAGTGGCAATCGTCACGAATTATTGTTGGGCAACTTTCCAAAAAGCTTAAATGAAAAAAAAAAAAAAGGGATAGAGCTAGGACTTGTGACACACAATGTCAATGTCATTCCTTCTATATTCACCGAAATTTCCACTGCATGAGGCTTGAAAATGGCATTATACTGCTAACTGTAAAACACCTTACTTATTTTGGTCAGGGCAAACAGGTCAATGTAGAGGCCTTGTGGAGTAACATTTTCTAATTCTCAGTAGGCATCTGTTTACTGGAAATATCAGAGGAAAGATAAATGAGACATGTTGCCTAAAGAAAGAACACCCCCTCTTTCCCTATGTGGTAAATTTTATCATCATGACAAAGGAAAAGCATCCTAACGTTTTTAAAACCTGTGGGTAAATTTGTGTAAAGTAAGTACGCCTACCTATAAACCTCCGCTTGGCATCCAGAGTCTCCATGAGAATCGCCCTGTCGGTAAATGTTAAATTCTACGACACTATTGTGGCAGATAATTTGCAGAGAAGTCTTGTCATCTAAAATAAAGCGAGCTGCATTGGAGAATTTCTGGGGCTGCTTACATGCCGTTTTGGACGCTGCCCATGATCCAAAGAGAGAAACAAGCTTTGGGAACAGCCCAGCTGGTACATAATCTGTCTTGAACGTAAGGTAAAGATTTGGTGAACAAGTTTCATCGCTTGATTTTGGTACTGACATCAATTTATCTTCTGGATTTGGCGCCAACATGCACGGCACAAGGTATTCCTGATCTTCACTGCTGCATCGACAAAGAAGGCCTAACCTCTCCATTATGAAAATCAATGAATGCTTGATTTCCTGCACGTCGTCGAGTGTTTCGCAAACGTGCTCTACTAGATCTGAAGCGAGAGTACCTCTCTCTCGAAGCTGTTTTCGGTAGTTGCGAATTTTCATGCTATCTTCTTTACTTGGTAAACCGTTGAGGATCTGGTGGAAAACATTTACTAGCCAGCGTGGATCCAACACTACCAAACCATCTGAATTTTCTGGATGACTGTAATAAACAACAGTGCCACGATCATGAAGAAATCGTAATAGCTGCTCGATGTCTTGTTCTTCTTCAAGCGCGCAAACCTTTTCAACAATGTCTCGTTGAAACGTTCCCCTGGAGACAAAATGCTCTCCGCCTCGAGCTTTTTCTTCGATCTTATCCTCTATATATAACCAAATAAGAGGAATCTCTTTCTTGGTATGTGGCATCATTTCGGCTTCCTCCAATATCAACTTACGCAAACGTTTTATTCCAGAGTCTTCTTTGTCAGGTCCATGACCTGCCAACGTGTTGTTCACAACAACGCTCTTCCGAACATGTTCCTTCATTAAAGAATTGTCGCAAAATCTTTCTGATAGACATTCCATTTTTTTCTCAGGGTCATCAGGCATGACGCAGTCTGCGTGAGTGCCCACAAGTATTACAGGAGGGAACGTTTCTCCCTCTATGGATTGCTTGAAGGAGTGTACAGTGTCCATAGCTCTCAGGATATAATGTAGACCAGAGTCATTTTCTTCCCCAGCATTTGCGTAAACATTCTTTGAGAGATCAAACGCCAAGAGGTACAAAGCCTCCGAGGTCATGAACATTGGATGCAAAGCCCTATCAACTGTTTGGCCAGCCAACTCCCCTATCACTGGCCATATACCATCCGATGGAACGACTTCATCAGCCTCAAGGCTTTCTTCGAGTAAATTCGCAATACCATCTGGGACTGCTTCAACCTCACCCCTCTCTAGCGCGTGAAGAGAGCTAGAGGTAGAATCTGATAGGAAGAAAGATGAATATGAAAGGTTTGAACCCAGCAGTCATTTCATAACTAGGTTGAGTCAGGGTGAACGTGGTCCTGAATAGGACTGTTGTTGTTGACAGTGACTGACGTTTCGACAGCCTGTGCTGTAGTCATCTTCAGAGTCAAAGTGAATTGTATCACGTCAGTTGATGGCATTAAACACTGGTTGTGGATCTGATTGGTCAATTAAGTCGCGATGTTATTGGTCGTCTGTCAGTTAAGCCGTGATGTTGTTTGCTATGTAGACTCGTAATGGCATTGTTGCGCTTCGATCCGTCTAAGTAACATTAATTTTTCTTTTGCACATAAAAATACTCCTTTCTTGTGTACTTTCTTTAATTATCAGTTTTAAAGTTGTAGGGTTTTCAAAAAGTCATTAGTAAAAACAGCGAGTTGACTTAAGCCCTTTCCTTTACCCTTACCATTGAGTTGATTCGTTATCACGGGTGGAGCAGCTGAGTTTCCAGTGAAATTCTGCACTTCTTCTAACAAGTCTTGGTGCATTATCCTCACGCACTTGTCTTCAAATGCACTCGATTTTCTTCGAGAATATCCCCAGGGCTCTTTTTCAGTTGCATTTTTCAGCGGCTCGTCCATTTTCACACCATCTGTGCTTGGCTCGTCCTCATCAAATGCTTCACCTCTCAGAGCTCTTGCGACGCTAGTTTTTCCAGCGCGGTCTTGGCCGATCAAAAGGACTTTAACGCGTTTATCGTAAGTTTTTCCTTTTTTTAAGGCTCTTCGATAAGCCGCCAATGCTGTTTTACCCCTTGCTAAGATACTCTTGGGAATAATATCTACAACCAGAACATTGTCAGAGTAGTTTTTATTTAAACAAAAGTAATCAATCATTTTTCTGTTACATTGCTTACTACTTCCTTTTCTTGGCCAGACATAACCAAGACTATTTTTTGCTTGGCACCGGATAAATAAGTTTTTCTCAGTGCTGAAAGCTTTTATTTGTATGATTGGGAAAAAACTGAAGCATGAACACCGCCCTTCTTCGAGGAATCACTTCTCATTTTAACAGTTCTTGTGTAAAGCAAAAGGTCCTTGAACAATAGCAACTAGGCAGCAGTAAAAATTAAGGAAAACAAAACAAACAAACAAACAACGACACAGAGTGGCTCTTGGTCTCTCATTCCCCAGCACCATTTGAATTTTGGAAATGCTGGAAGTGCCGATACTTATTAAATTTCCGGCGGAGGGGGCGTTTTCTCGCCAATTCACTTACCCTTGTTTATAAGGCAGTGTTTAACCACCAGGTCTTGTCGCTTCAAAGGACCATTATCAAGAGCAGCAGCAAGGCCTTTATAAGGCAGTTCTTTGTGTGGCAGCTTCTCAAAAATAGAGCTGCTCAATGCGGCACCATCAGTTTCATCAAAGTCCTGCCCGACATTCTGTTCTATCTGATCATCCTCTATGTCCAATAACGCCAGGAATTCTCTCACTTGTTTGGGATCTGAAGCTAAGTCGGTTATGATGGACTTGATGTCTTCCGCTGTCACCAGTCCTTCCTTCAACAAGCAGTCTGTATCTATAAATGTATCCTTCTTTTACTAATACAAAAACGGTGCTGTAGCAAGGTTAGATTTATTGGGGGAGGGGGGCAATCAGGAGCGCCGAAGGCACGAGCTGCTAGGAGGGTCCGGCGACATGCTCCCCTGATTGAAAGATAGGGTCTCTGAAATAGCATTTTCAGCCTTCCGAGAGCATTAATTTCTAGGTCTCACCCATTTAAGAAATGTACTTTGTTTAATATGCTCGCTTGATTTTTCTTTGTTGGAGCCATAAATGAATAATTTTCACCCTTTATTGAACCGAAATGAACACATTGAACTGAAGAGCAGCGTGAAGAGCGTGGCCGCTGACCAAATTAAACATGCCTGTCAAGATTATTGGGGGCCCAGGCCCCCCAGGCCCCTCCCCATGCTAAGGCACTGAAAAACCACCGAAATCTGATCTCACTTCATACAAGTTACCAACAGCACAATTTTCTAAAGGATTTTCGTTGTTGCCTTCACGTACAAATGCCAAAACAGTGACGACGAACACGAATATATATCAGTATATCGAATGTCAGAAAGAAGTAATGTAGTAGCAGTGTTATGGTATTTGAAAGTCCTCTACTGACGTAAAATGTCTTGTATTTACAATTTAGGGTTACTTCTTAATACATCTTGTGTTTTCACCAATTTACTTAGGCCCCGTCCACACGTATCCGGACATTTTTGAATCCGCAACTTTTGCTTCCGTCCACACGTATCCAGTGAATCCCGTAGAAGAATCCGCAACTTTTTGAATCTGCTCTCCAGAGTAGAAATTTTGAATACGCTAGGAATCTGGAATCGTGTGGACGCTAGTCCGGATATTTTTTCATCCCGTGACCAAACAAGAACGAGCCCAGTTCTTTACCGTGAAAGGCAGAGCAAAATTCGCGCGTTTTATGACGCATGCTCTGTTGCCAATATCCCCAGAGGAGTCCTGGATACTAGAGTGAATCGGATACGTGTGGAAGGACAAATTCGATTTGAATATGGATACGCGTGGACGTGGAAATGTTTGAAACTGGAGAGAAAATTTGCGGGCTTTGGCTAGGGACAAAACGCGTCGAAGAAACCCAATGCTAATGAACGAGAACAATAGAGTTTGCTCAAAAGAATTACGTTCCTAACACGTGAAGCCTAGGCCTTAGAGATCAGAAAAGTTTCATTTGCCGGCCTAAAATAAAGCAGTTCCGGCATTTGTTGTCCTATGATACGTATTATGAATTACTGTTTATGCGGGAGAGAGGCCTGCTTAGAGTCGGAACTGATCATGAGCACTTAAGTCGATGGCCGACTTACCAATTTGGTCTCCATCTGCGATTCCTTCTCTGCTTCTGTTTATTTCCGCTAGTAGTGTGTCCCAATCCATGGCCATTAGTTTCGTACTCTCACATGGCAAGATATTTGTAGCTTGACTGGGGTTAAAATACAAATACAAAATATAAAGAAGAAACACTTTTTATGTACATCTCCCAGTGAATAAGTCTTGAGACGTCTTTTTTCTCGCGAGTTTCTGGCATAGACCTGCTGCAGCTAAGACTCGCTGCAATACTGAAAGCACTGATGACACAGCAAATTGCAACTCAAAGAAGCTTCACGATCTCACAGAAGGGTCGGAAACGGTCAATTCGAAGACCTACTGAGTCGGAGTTAGCTACAGAAGCAAAGCGCGCTGCAACAATCTAAACGAGATCATTCACTGATCAAGGTAATGTATACATAAATAGCATTTACTAGTTCACTCGCTCCGGCCGTCATAGATCGTCACGGCTGTTGTCAAGCCACTTTGTATGAATACAAATCAGTTGTCCGCAGTGCTGTTTCTTTCCCAAGCATATTAAAATACTCCAAAACATACTTAAAAGAATGCCGATACACTATTCTAGAAGATCGTCACTGATACTATGAAATCTTCCTGCCATCGAAATACGATACCCCGTTCTCAGTAGGAAACCATGAGGGGACTACACCCCTCAGCTAACCCAGGCTCTGATGTTCTTTCACTTTCTATTAAACGAAAGTAAAGTAATTCAGGGCAGAACGTACGAAACGTTCCACCAATAGTTTATTTAGCTGCATAGTTTCGACCAAGAGTCGTAAAGCCGACTCGTTACTTGCTATATCTGAGTAAAATCAAAGTACACTCGAAAGCCAATATTATTGTTTATGTCCGATTCATAAAGGCCGTATAAATTTCGATTTGAATAAAAGAAAGGAAATTTCATGCCATTAGACACTGATTAGAATTCAATCTATAATACCTTCCTAATGAGAACCTCTCGTGTATTGAATCAAGCCACTGCAGACTGTATGTAATATGCCGAAACTGTCTCTTTGTAAAATACGCAGCATACAGGTCCTTTCTGTTCCTGTAAAACGCATGGACTGCTTCTTTGAGTGTCTTAGCTGAAATAAATAGTTATCCGTCATTCGGTATTTTCCCAGATCTCTGATTACCACTTCCGCTCCTTGTTATTGGTCAAAAGTGAAAACTTTGACCCGACGCTTAAGCTAATAAAAGAACGAGCGGTCAAAATAAGATGGGGTCTTGTTTTGAAAACGTTCCCTCCTTTCTGGGAAACCCCATCTGGGATATTTACATATGCCACGAAACAGTGTTTCAAATTCAACCGCTCTTGATATTTTTTGTATGGGCTTATCATTTGGCTTTTCGAGAATTTCACCTACCTAGCTACTGTTTTGCTTAAACTGAATTTCCCTACTTCATATAATAGAGGACGTGATGTATTATGAAACGCATTTTTCTGAGAACAAAGACGTTTTGTACTATTAAAACATTGTTTCTTAGAAGTGCTTGAATGACCCTTGAGAAGGATCAATTTTCCCCGACTCAGTTTATATCAGGGGCACCCAACGAGAATATAGTTCAAAACCACTTAAACATATATAGCATTGTTAAACGTATTTTAGTATTTAAACGGTAGATATAGGCATATTTTTATCTCCTAAAAATTTTTCATCTGTTCGGATTTCCTAGCTGAAAGTCTAGTGATCCGAAAATTATAGGGATCAAAACTTACCTGTTCGAAAATTCCAGCCAGAAAAAAGGCTCCCGAAAATTCTAGGTGACCTTTTTTAGGGTAAAAATCCGTTAAACATAGGCAATTATACCATTTTTTAGACGTTCGAAAATCCTAGGAGAGGCGGGCAAGCAAGAAATTTTACAAAAAATGTTCCGAAAATTCTAGATATCAAATCGTCTTCTGAACAGATATTTTCTGAAAATTGTCGTTGGGTGCCACTGTTTATATTCGTGCTTAGTTGGGTAAAGTAAACAAGGCCGGTATTGGATCGACTAAAACTTGAAACACAAAGCTCAACTTTCTCTCATTTTAGGTAGAATAGGAAATAAAAGCGACCCTACAATAAAACTCTTTTTGACAGGCTTTTTTTTTTTAAATACAACATCAAAAGTAAAGGTCGGAAAAAGAGTAGGGAAATTGATGGGGAATTTTTGAAATATACATAACTCCCCATTCATAACTCGTTTCTAATTACCTTTCGCTTTTCAAATAGCTTGTTACTTTCCTACCAACAAAAGGTTTCAGTTTTTTCGAACATACATTACGGACCAATAAAATTCATCAGCGATCGAAAGTCGGCGGGCGAGGTTTGTAATTGGGAGGCTGAAGCGAATTTAAGAAGGAAGAGGGCCACGAAAATTAAATCCGGAAGCGCAACACTGTAGACTCCTTGCATTCTCAAAATGATACCAAAGAGCGGTTTGCCTCAACACCACAGGATAACCAAGCGCAATACGACGTTTGTAAAAAGAGAACACTGAGGTGCTGAAGACAAGTAGTTCCGCTTATTCAAATATACTACCTGATGAGAAATAAATTTACGGAGTTTCTGGGTTGTATGACCTGTTAAAGCTGTCTGTATACTTGTTAGGATATTTCTTTAGTCCGTTCGTTTCAATAGAATTTGCTGTCTCCCTCTGTCACCTCAATGAATTAAAACATTCCTTAAATAGTAACAAAAAGAAACGCGTTAACACAAGAAAATATCTTTTATTCCCGACAAATGATGACCACTTCTCTCGCGATATATTTATATAAGGTGCATTGCGACAAAAATAATTCCAAATTCTATGAAAATAATGTACAAATATCAATTCACATATTTAGCTCTTCAATTGAAAAACAAAGAAAATTACCATGTGAAGAACATAGGTAATTTTTTTTCCAATTTACGAAACTAAAGAGGTCGGGGTTCCAGAATTGGATTCTTTGAAGCCATGCAGGTATTAATCAAAAGGTGCTTGCGGGCTCACAGAACAGTGCAATAGAGGCAGCTTCTTCAGAACTGCTGTAAGAGTAAAATTAATGAGCAGATTTTTTTTTTTCATTTTGCGTCGACGGATACCATAAAAACTTTGTCCCTCTCTCGAGGCTTTATTCTTTCTCTGAAAGAGAAATAAATGACATGATTACTATAAAGGATCTAGCTTGATGAACGTGCCGGTATTATTTCAACCATCTAGCATTAATGTCTGGAAACTCTGGGCCTGTCTAGTGAGCACTGTTCTCGCCGACATCCTGTTACAATCTTTGTACGGGTGGGGTAAGGGTGGTTAGAAGGGGGGCAAATAAAGAAAGAGCTATTAAACGGACAACTGACTTCTCAGGTGACCACTACTTACGTTAAATACTTGTCACGTATAAGATCGTATCTTTTCGTTTTTGAATTGAAGGAGCTGCAGTGTCCATTTGCGTGTTGTGCTTCTCCGTACCGATCAATATTGTAGCGACCTGGACCAACAGGATTCTATCATAAAAAAAAAAACTTTATTAGAGACATAAAACAATGAAATGGTAAAGTAAACGTTCCAATGAAGGTGGGGTATCAAGTCAGAAGGGAAGTGAACTTGGATTGCATGTGATTGAATACACTCACCGTACTTCCGAGGAAAAACCGCCTAGCATGACGATCGAATCGTTCAGCAGACGAACCAAATGGTGGTCTCTTAGATGCTTCGGGCTTTGTGAGGTCCTGGGGCGAGTAGTTCCCAGGTCCTGGGTCACTCTGTTAAAGAAAAACTCTTAGTCTATAAACAAGTATCAAGGTTAAGACCATTGCATCGGACACCCGTTGTTGTTTGATTGATTGAAGGGATCTCGGGACACGTTTCACGCTAATTTTTTTGCAGGGGTGGGGGTGACATCATCAAAACATCATCACCAACTTGCCAAAGGAGAGAGAGCCTGGGAATCAGAGATGGGTCGCACGCACACCGCTATGTTTGATTAAAAAAAACTTATTGAGAGAAAAAAGTTGAGCATGCTTCGTTTCTCTGTAACTTACCCACAAAGATGTTATTTAGACTCGTCTTATAGCTTACAGATACTATTTCCTCCTTTCTCCCAATTTCCAACTCTTAGAAGCAGGTCAGTTCACTCTAATTCCCAGTTAATCTTGTATTTGGCCGGGGATGACCTAGTCAGACAGCAGACTTACCGGATCCCTGGGATATTGACTCAACGTGGAACAGTAAACCCTGTTGGTAGGATAAGCCGGGAAACGTTCCACTTTGAGGAATGCTCCATGGTGGTTTTTGTGCTTGTCTGACAAAACAGAGAAAGAAAGAAAATAAACGTGATAATAACAGTGTAAAAGATCAAAATATACGAAAAAAGAAAAATTCCATGATGAAAACAGTTTTAAATAACTACCATTTAGTTCGTGTAGAAAAGACTTCAAATCATATTCACCAGGGCCAAGGTTCTGCTTTGCCTGTTGATAAAAACAAATTACAGTCCAATTAGAAACCCCACAGCACATGGAGCAAAAAAATAACATGAAAGAAAATGATGATGATGACAAGAACAAACGGGCACATACATGAAGAGGACAATAAAATAGATGATAAATAAAAGATTGACAACTGTGGAAGGCCCAAAAAACACGCAAAAAAGGACAAATGAAAATGATACCTTTGTGTAGGAAATATTCAACTGGTGCCAAGCCTTAATCTCATCACACCAAGCGAAAAATTATATACATGTACTATCTTGTTTCAATTTAAAGAAGTGTATGAGATACTACATGTAGCTGTGACTATCAAAGACTTGCATGACTAATGCAGTTTTTACTTCGTCAAGAAGTTGAGTGGCACTAGCTTGGGGTTGACCGGATGTTTTAAATTTCTTCTTTAATCCTTTGTTCTCACCGGTAAAGCAAAGTAGCCTACAGAGATTGGCTTGTTTCTTTCACCAGTAAAAAGATCATAAGGACCTCTCTTGCTGACCACTCTTGCTTCCATCTCATCTGTAAAACTCTTCATCTCATACTGTCCAGGACATAAATGACTTCCCTAAAATTACCAGGAAATAGTGAATTAGAGTTTTAAAATTTCCCATTATTCATAACCATCCTGCACTCACAGATGCATAATTATTTCTTGAATCCATTGGAAGACTTTTCTGTGTTGTACATCACATGGGCTGTCAACCACCCACGTCTTCAAATATTGAGAATTGATGGGGAAGGGATGATAGATGACGTCATAATGCACGGTGTGTGACGTCATTTGTGGAAAAAAAACGTGAAAAAAAGATGTTGTTGGAATTGTAACATTTGACCTTAGGTTTACTTCCCACCAATAACATTATTGCTTATATAACGATAGCTAATAGTACGATAGCTCAAACAACGCAAAATATTTGAAATTTCATTGTCAGACAGTCAAATCTACAAGAAATATGGCATACCTCGGCGATTATCCAGGAGATTTCAGACTCTAATATGGAGACCGGGAGAAACAGTTCAAAATCTGGATTCTTCCGGATTATCAGGGAGAGTTGACAGCCCTGCATTGCTGCCACACAGACTCCTCCGGTAACATAATTTTCCTCATATCTACTAGCCAACTATTGAAATTGGATTATAAAGGAGAATAACTTTTATCACAGCATTTAAAATGTACTTACCACTTCAGGAAGTTGTCTTTTGTAAGACTTTCCAGAATCAAGCATCCCAACATTACTAACTGATTTTCCTTCCTTTTCTTCAACCAAAGCACTCGGTATACCACCCTCTCCATAGGTCCCTGGTCCTGGCACTTGACTCTGTTATAATAGTAATCATTATATCATTTCAGCTGTAAATGTTTTATATGAAAGAAAGTAGCAAAAGTCAAAAGTGATCTTTTATAGCTACATGTAGCAATTATTAAGACATGCCCAAAATAATGGGTCCATGGTAATAGTTAGAACTGTAGGAGTAAACTGGTTTCATTTCTAACAAATTGAAGATTAATTAACACAAGATAATTAAGCATAGGCAAAACTTTTGCTTTATTGATGGGAAGACACATAATAGCAGTCTCAATTTGGTCTGAGATTTTGTTCTTGATGGTGTCACGAAGACTTATTGAAAAACATACAAAACAAAACAAAGCACTATAATGGCTTAAGAAAAATTCTTGTCTTGTGGTTATTGTACATTATTTATGACTACTGAAGGCTCAAAAGGGAAATCACTTATTCGACTCTTTCTCATAACAGTGTGAAGTGATTCTCAATAATAAAGCATTGAGATTTTGTGCCAGATCCACATTAAATTATTAAGGCACAACTATATCAGACATAAATAACCAGTAAAAAAATATTACTACTATGTACGTGTACAGCAGCTGCTCCAACAAGGGCTATGAAAACCCATACTGATTTGAAACAGGCCAGTGCATCGACCTTAACCCTAGGTTTATAGAAGTGAAACATAGAATGAAGATGATGTAAAATTTGCATCATACATGCCTGACACTCTATTCGTGCAGTTCCGTTTCACCTTCATTCTAATTGTTTCACTACTTTACAGGCACAGATGCATGAACTCAACATGTTAGAGGCCCTGCCGAGGGGGGGGGGGGGGGCCGTGGTTTTTTTTTTTTTTTTATTTTTTAACACTGTCAAGGTTGGTTTTTTAAATTTTCACCTTTTCTTTTGGAAATTTAAAAAAAGTTGTTTTTTTTTTTTAATAATTTATTTGATGATGAATGATTTGTAAAAATATTTATAAAAAAAAAATAAAAAAAAATAAATAGTGTTAAAAATTTTCCACAAAATGTCTCTCCCTTTATGTTGGTCGCTTTTCTTTCCCCCTTTTTTTTTTTTTTTCACCACTGTAGAGGGAGAGGGAGAGAAGATCGAAAGGTGGGGGGGTGGGGGGGGGGGGGGGGGGGGGGGGTCCGATGTTGTTTTTTATGTCTGAATTTTGAAACATCTCACGTTGGTGTTTATAAATGCTTCACGTTGCTGTTGGAAATTGAACAAAATGTTCTTTGTCTTTGTCAGAATTTTAGAAAAGGGGGATAGCAATGCCTTGTAAAGAAATCATTACAGTTCTGCAGTTTCTCAGTTAACATTTTGCATATCGAACACCTATTCACATTTAACACAATTCACAGGAGGGTCTAACAAGACGTTCTCTATAGAGTGCAAAGAAAATTGGGGAAAATTACTTCTTTTTAGCATACAGACTGGTGATAAATTAGCCAAACCACCATATATTCTTTGTTGCTTATTCTCGGCTTTTCCATTCCTGTCTCAATTTGGCCGAGGGAGGTTGTCTCTTGCGATTTCATTTTATGCTCTGGTGCCACTTATTGGGTCATGTTGCTTGTTGGAATTTACCCTGGCAGAGCCTCAAGTTAGTCTGCTCCCATATACATGCATGGGTTTCCACAGCTCTGTTAGTTGTACTAATGCTGCATGGCTGTGGGCACTTAAATGCAATGGCTTGAATCCTGCTGAATCCTTGAAAATTAAAGCTAACCAACCAATTTTGTGGTATCAAATCTTGCTTCTCTTGTTTCACACACTCCTCGTTTGCTGCCAGGCTTTCTGGACATGTGATCAATAAAGTCAGTGATGTTGTATGTTCCAGGACCCAACAGTTGTTTCTGTTGTAAAAAGAGAAAACAATTACTAAGTGTGTATAATTATGGTAGTAATTTTATATATACATTTACTTTCAGTAAATATACACTCTTCCCTGATACATTTTCCTTTGACATAACTCAGCCTTGGGTTACATGCAGTTACAAAAAATATGTGCATACAAAAAGTCACGTTCATTGAACAACTAGACGCTTTGATGGATTAAAATTTCTTGTGAGAATGGATGTGTCCCAGGAGTACAAGTTCATTTTTCTTTTCAAGAAAGTACAACCTGAGGAAATGAAAATGCAGGCAGTTTTTTTTTGTTTATTGACTGTAGGTGGTGACATGATCCAGCGGCTTGTGTTTTCAGGCTTAAGCAAGTATTAAATTTACTTTACCTGAAGTTGTTTTTTCTCCCACTGCTCTTTATACAGCAGATGAGGTATCTTTGCTAAGCGAGCTGTTTCAAAAGCCCTTTCCCATCCTAAAAAGAGTAGGTACAGCTATGAGATTATATTGTTTAAACCACTTATAAATTACTGGTATCCGTGATCAATTTTTTCCCTCCTGTTTAACATTAGACTGTGAGCAGTCCCTCAGGATTGCCATGCAAGCAGGGAAATCAAGTGAAGCAAACAAAGAAAAAAGGCCGGCTGAGGCCATTTCACTGACTTTCGGGTTCTGCCAAGCCTTTGACTCAACTGACTGAAAACGGACTGCTTGCAGTCTAATCTAACATGTCAACAGATAATAATTTTATGTGCATGTGCATGCACTGAAGGTGTATTAGAACAAAATAATGGTCCTCTGAGTCTCTGAGAGGAACATGTGTTAAGTAATCCATATAAACAATATCTCACACTTAATGCAGCACTTCTACCTGAACAAGGGAGTTAAATACTTTATACAGATTTTTCTCACCTGGACCAGCTGATCTCTCTAACACAGCTTTTGGATTAAATCCACCCGCATCAATGTTGTAAGAGCCAGGTCCAAGACGACGATTCTTAAATTAAAAAATTGATACAAAAAAAAAGCTCACAAAATCAAGTACAAATACTTAAAATTCAATGCTGAACTCTCCAAATATTACGCGGGGGTCAGAAAGTAATCAGGAATGTTCCCAGAGGGTACTCCCATGTGTGGGCTAGATAGGTATCTGCTGCCTGATATAGGGTATGGCTTCTGAGGGTATTTAAGGTTTCACTTTCGCCTGTGTTTAGCCTTGTGTTCCTGCTGTGATCCTTAGATAGTGTACCTAATATAAGTGTGTAACTGCCCAGTTGTAGATGAGAAGTTGAAAGTGAACTATCCCTTATATTTTTAGGCCCAGTTTAATTCAGACACCAAACTTTTCATGAGCCGCACCTAATGGATCAAATTTAAGTACATGAAAAGTTTGGTGCCTGAATCAATTAAGAACGCCTCTTTCAATTTGGAACGGCTTAGCCGTTCCTTTTGCCCAGTTCGGCCAGGAATTTCACCATTAGAGCAACTTCGATTCAGACACTGAACTTTTCATGTACCAGACCTAATAAATAAATTATTACACATTTTGTAAACAGTTTGACCGAAATAAGAATTTCCGCCTTTTGAAATTAGTTCAGATGCAATTAAAATCGGCATCTGAATCAATTCAGCTGGTCTAAATAATTTAGGTCTTCCTTTTTAATAATTCAAATTTGGTTTGGCTCATGAAAAGTTTGACGTCTAAACTGGGCCTCAAGAAGCAATTTCATGAAGATTTAATTTTTGTTGCCGTTAAATTCTTAGTTTTTGGTTTTGCCTTGAGTAACGTGTAATTTTTTGTGTTTGGGCCTTACATGTGGTATAAAATTTCGCCCCCATAAGCCACCACCTCTTAAATTTTTCTAGCCAGTGTTCCAGGTGTTCAGATAGTAGAGCACAGGAGAAAAATTCACTAAGAGAGAAAACAAGGGGAGTCTAGATGGGGAAAGGGGGAAGGAGGGAACTCCTGTAAACATTGCCTTACAGAGCTCTTTCTGTCCTTAATTGACCGCCGACCCTGTAACTACAGTTATAGTGACATGAACTACAGTTTGACTGAATTGTGACACAAAGTGTTGACAAGGTGGACACGACCCATAAGCTCGTGTGAAACGTGACCTTCAATGTCATTAGTGCTTGAGTGTTAACAGAAGGTGTCATAATCGACCGCTAAGTAATGGTAACAGGACTGAGTGGAGTCCAATTTGGTCTGTAATCATACGAGTGATTGACAAAATCGGACGACCGCGTAGCGGGAGTCTGATTTGTTTAATCACGAGTATGATTACAGACCGAATTGGACGACACGAAGTTCTGTTACCAATCAATCATAACTTTAACAAAATTTGTGATATATAGGGCTCTTTTCAAATCAAAACACAAGAAATTCCAAGATTTTTTTGCTAGCAATGAAAAAAAAAAGCCATTTAAGCGCGCGCGTGATGGCACGTACTGTCCAATTACTTAGGCATGACGCATACTGCCCTATTAAACTGTCCTATTAAGGCTGAAATGAGGGCAGTTGAGAACCAATCAGATTTGAGAATTTTGTTATAGTTATGATTAGAGGGTATACTGGAATCCACCCTTTGTTAAGAATGTTTACAGGCATTCCCTCGCTCTCGCCTCCCCCCCCCCCCGGTTTCCCAGTGTACAATTTAACTCCCCCCACCCTGATCCCCGCCCTCTACTATCTGAACACCTGAAACAGGCTAAATTTTTTCAGGGTAATTCTTCAGTCTTCTATCGATTGACTTACCACTTCGGACATGCATTTCCTGTCATAAGCAACCTGAGTTATTGTTCCTGGGGTTTTGCTTTTTGGATGAATACCAGCAACATCAAACCTGAGAAAGTCATTTGATTTCTTAAAAGAAAAATCACTTACTTATAAGGCTTAAATACTACTACTAGAACTGTCGCGCGAAAGAATTGGATTCTCTTATTGTTTGGAAACATTCCTAAAGATGATGAAAAACCTAAACCGTATACTAGAAGCTCACAAAACCGAAGTACTGAAAACCTCCCTAAATATTTTCATGTGCACCCAATTATAGCCTGCGCGCAGATGAAACTAATCTCTGGTTAACTCCAGAGTTTAGTTTCGTCAGCGCGCAGGCTAACCCAATTAGGAATGAGCACCAAGTACTGCAAAAATGAGCAAACATACCGGTACTTTTCTAAGTTTTTCTCGACAGACAACTCTGCCCAGCCCATGATGACGGTCCCACAGGGCACGATGCTTACCTCACAGTTTGGACTCCAAAAGGCGCCCCTGAAAATTTCTTTTGTGTCATTTTCACTCGCTACGTCCTCTTGGTTTCATGTCACTAAAATAAAGGCCTTAAAATGACACACTTTGCGTTTAACTTAGCTTTATAACTCGAACGGCGGGGTGAAGAACTGTATTGCCTAGCAACCAAGTTGCAGAGGCCTGGTTACCCGCTTTTCCCATACTCGAGCCGACCGGGCCGACCCACTCGGGTCGCTGTCACCAAACCCCTGATCAACCCGGGCCCGAGTTTGGCCCAAGTTTAAGATGAGTGGCAGGCGTTTGAAAGGAAAGGGAAAGGGGGTTTTGGGCTCGATGGAAACGCGAGGGGCGCGCGAGGAGGGTTCAAGTTATCGGGAGTCAACTGAGTGTATGTTATTTGACATCAATTTTCGGAAAGTGTAACAGCCGAGTGCTTCACTCAATCTCTGCCCACTGTGACCTTAAATTGCGATACGTCTTGTCAGTTTACTGATTCACTGCCGAGTTGCGCCCAGATTCCGCTCTAAAAGCTCATGCGCGCGATTGAGAAACTGAAATAGACAACACTTCCCTTTGTGACGTAAGCTATTATGATAATGATCGTTATTTGTTGTTGTGAAAACAAAAAGATACCATAAATGGGTTCTTCTACAAGGCACTTAAGTGTTAGTCGAGATTTTAGAACAACCTGTGCTACTCTGGCTACAAATCGTTATGTCAAGGCGCCCATGGGTCATGCCCAAAATAGCGCCGCGGACAACTTGCAACTTGTGCATTTGCTGACAACCAATCCCGCAGCCGCTCTTCCAGCGATCTTCTCCACCAGCGTAAGCCCTCAAAAGCTGGCATTTCAGATGAGCCGTCAAAATAACAGTTGGACCTGTGGCGGGTTAAATGATCAAGTGTATATTGAAAACGAGAGGACGGGACGAATTAGCCTTATAAGCCTGAGTGAGCAGTCTCCCTGTAGCAAAAGACAATGCTCTTTTTCAGAGCTTTATGTTTCCAAAGAAGACATTGAAAAAAAGGCGTGTTGCATCGACGGAGACGGACACTTTGACTTTGAAGCGTTATTACCGGCAGTGTACTGGAAACAAATAAATATTTCCTCATTTACCTTAGATAAGGAGGATTGCTGATTTAAAAGACGAAGTGTGTCTTGATTAGTGATTTTTCTGAGTAAACATCAAGTCTGTATCAAGGGTTCAAATGTCTTACTGTTTTATCTCATCTTTACCTGGCCCTTTTACATCCCTGGAAATATCTAAGCGAAATCTTACAAAAATACTTTCCCTTTTTTGTCGTAGCAAAATTTACCAACTTTGTCTTTGGAAGTTTTACTACTCAAATATTGTTGTTCTAGCCTTTTCACAGACCCTCTATTTTCTCTTCAAAGTCCGTCTAGCGCGGGTGATAAGATATAAACCGAGGGGGATTTATTGACCGCCAGCGCAAGGGGGTAGTGTGGTGCTCGCCGATGTTTTTGAAAAGAACGAAAAGAAAAATAAAACAATGTCTGTGCACAGGCTATTGTTGATCCGGCTGCCGAGGAATGTCTCGGATACCTCACCGAAATGACCGAGAGACACCGTAGACCATACAGGTTGTTGCAACGTATCGCAACCAGAGGAACTAGGCACCTTAAGACCCGAGGCCTTGAAAAATATACCCTCTTGTCAAGAGCCATAATAGTCCCATTTTGGCTCTTGCTCTTGTTTATTGGACCCATCGTTTAGACCAAATAAGGGTGTGCACTGCCTCCCGGATCTACACCAAGATCTGCTGTTGTCATACCATAAAATTCCGAAAATAAGCCTCGGGGCTTATCAAGTTTTCAAAGGCCCTTTTTGAGGGGCTTATATTCGGAGGGGCTAAATGTCTACGGAGGGAAATTTGCGTTTCAAAATCGATTGGGCTAACCTTTTAGTTGGAAGTAACTTTACCGTTTTTGCTTTGTTTTACTTTGTATTTGAGGGCAATTTTCCCCGGGAGGCTTATATTTGGACAACCTCGTCCCCAGGGCGCTCTTCCCTGGCTTTGGAGGTGGGGCGGCCCCACCTCCAAAGACCAAGGAAAAGCGCCCTGGGGACAAGGTTGATATTTGGAGGGCGATTTAACGGAGGCAGATGGGCTCCTGACGGAGGGTTTTTTGCGTTTAATACCGGTTTTGAGGACTTATATTTGGAGGGGCTTATTTTCGGAATCTTACGGTATTGTCCAAGTCAGGAGCCGCTTCTGTCCAAGTGTATCCTCTTCTCTCTTTACATTATACTTTTTCATATTTTTATGACCCTCATGAAGAAACGCTGCTTTCATCCATACTTCCGCTTACTGCACGAGCGAAAATAGAGCCTGATGTCAGCAAAGATGCGCGAGGATGCGCGCGGTCTTCTTGAACGAGAAGCACTGGAACGAGGTATATTAAGTGAAGGTCTGATCATGAGAAGGGAGTTGTTTCGTCTTCACGGAAGTTTCAGCTGAGCCATGTGTTCACAACTACAGCGTCACCTACCCAACAAAATGGTCAGAACAAAAGGAATTTTACTTGTCACTACATTTTTGTGTTTTCTTGGCGTTATTTCGGCTACTTGCCCAAGTTCGACCTACTCGGACTTGAAACACACACTTCAGTCACCAGGTTTTAATAGTACGGGAAAATACCCTCCGAACCAGAATTGTACCTATAATATTCGTGTTTCTGCTGGAAAAAGAATAATTCTTGCCTTTGACTTTGAAGTATTTGATATTTGGGGAAGCATGCCAAATTGTTCTCAGGATTCTCTGGAAATAATTGTCGGGTAAGTATAATATCCAGATGCCATTATTGTCGTGTAAACATGTTTTGGTCAGCTTTGCACGTACGCGGCATATATTACGTGCATGTTATCTCAAAGCGGAATATACTGTATAAGCTTAAAACCAATAGTCGCTTCTATTAGTGACTTGGTTCAGGAATTTGAAAGAAAAGTAGTCACTTTCGAATTTTAAAATGTGGTGCTCGTTCCTTCAAGTTATTTTAGCTTATACCTTTCTATATTTCTCAGTGACAGACGCGAACCCGTAAGTTTTCATTCAGTCACTTTGATCAGAAAGGTGTTTAGCATTGTTCAACTTTCTCACGTCATTCCTAAGATTAACTGGGTGATGGTCTATTCTTTTCTCAAACTTCTCAGATGAGACATGAAAGGTTGTTAATATCAACGATGTAGATTATCAGGATTTTTTGTGTGATAATCAACCATGCGCTATTGATGATTAATGCTTTATTAAGGCTGGTTTTCACTAGCGACGGAGTGGGAGTCGGAGTCATAATCAGAAGCATAGAGCTTATGATCTAGTGAAAACAGCGTTCCGATTCCACTTACGACTTCATCGCGTATGTTCCACTTATGATCTAGTGAAAACCAGATTGTCGGAGTCGGAAGCAGAAACAGAAGAACCTAACCAATCACAAAGAGTGGGAACGTGCATTCTGATTGGCTTATCCTTCCACTTCTGCTTCCAACTCCGACAATCTTGTTTTCACTAGATCATAAGCGGAACGTAAGCGATGGAGTCGTAAGCGGAGTCGTAAGAAAAGGGGAACATTCTGATTCTTCTGACTCCAATTCCGTCGCGCTTACGACTCTGCTTACGACTCCGACTTTTGATTTTCACTAGGTCATAAGCCCTCTTACAACTCCGCTTACAACTCCGACTCTGTCACTAGTGAAAACCATCCTTTATAGACAATATTATTTGATGAGATTTGAGCCGAGCAAAGGCTGAGGCTGATAACACTTACTGAGACCTTGATTACCTGCATTCAAACTCCACTTTACGGATACTCGCTTAATATGGACACCTCATTATTACGGACAGTTTGCTTTGTCCCTGGGAAAAGAAAACCATTACATTTTCTCTAAATTCAACCCGCTTAATATGGACACCCCGTTAATATGGACACTTTTTTCGGTTCCCTCAGTGTCCTTATTAACAGGGTTTGACTGTATTTAGGATATCGAATCTAATAATTGTTTTATTATTCATTGTTTTGAAGAAAATGATGACAAACAAACTGTCACAAGGAAAGTGAATTGATATTGTTATTACAAATCATTCATAATTGCATGTGCAACTGACAAATTAGTCGGTTACCTGCTAGCAGATAACTCACTAATCTGCATTACTAATTCTGAGTTACAACTGACAAGTCTTTCTAAAATAAAATCAGAAAACTTAAGACCTATCTAGTCAGTAAAGAACTATTATTTCAACAATCTGCATTTTTATCAGGTATCATTTTTAAGATGTGTTATCTCTCAATTTTTAAATCAACATAATTATTAGAGCTATACCTTTTTATCTCTTAGGGCTAAGAGGAAAAGGAAATTAAAAAAATTAATAATTATTGGGAATCAACCTAGGTTAAATCAAAATTAACCTGAAATTAAAATTTACCTTTAACATTTTATTATTATTTTCCTTTTAATTGTGAGTTTATACCTGTAAAATAGGTTTTTAGCTAAGTGTTAATTCTGTTAATAAAATATTTTGCTGGGACATGTATATATAGTAAAGCCCTGTCAGGGTATAATTCCATCAAGCAAAATGTCAGCATTGAAACTGCAGTGACATACTTGTACACTGTAAGACTCGATGAGATGGGGAAAAACAACATTAAGATGGGTTGAATACCAACAAGGGACATGGCCTTCTCCTCAAAAGGCAAAGCAGCCAGATTTAGAATTCAGTCTGCAGTGGCGAATCCAGGGGAGGGGCCCGGGGGGCGCAGCACCCCCCCTTATTTTTGGACCAACTGAGGCCCAAAGGGCAAAAAAAAAAATTTCAAGACCCCCCCCCCCCCCCCCCCCCCCCCCCCCACCCTTATCTGAAGGTCTGGATGCTCCAGTGGTCTGTATGGAAAAATGTACGTATCCCTTCCTTGGATGGACGTGCCTCTATATTTAACTTTCATTATGCTCTTAAATATAATGGTTGCGTGACAAACTGTGTCGTGCTTAAGTTTCCTTTTGGGTACTCAGCTATTATAATCATATAATACAGAATTTACAACTTAAACTCCTACCAACTTTGTTGGCAACGGAGGTTTTTCACAAAAAAGCTCTTAAGGTTATAAACTGTAACTCCCTCACAATTTCTTTTAACACTGTACTTTACTGCAGAATAATTTGTAAGCCCGGATAAAACTATGCCAGATTTTTATTAACTAATAAAAATAGTTAGCACAAAATTTCCAACCCTCTCCCTTCACAAGAAAATCTCCTCAAATGCACAAACATGTCAGACATATTGCTGCCCCTCCCCACTACTGTGCTCGATGACCTTGACAGTGACTGGGTAAATGAATTTTTCCATTTCAATTTCAGATGTGGGGGTGATCGAACATCACTTGGCAAATTCTGTTCATGTTCAAATCTTTCAATGCCAGACAAGATCTATACCTATGACAACTGTCTGACTCTTGTGTTCATATCTGATGGCTCCCAGGAGGGACGGGGCTTTCAAGCAAATTACACTACGACAGATAACAATGTAGCAAGACTGGATCCCAATAACAATTGTAGGTATGTACAACTCACTTAGCTTGCCCAATGTTTATTGCACTATTATTAAAAGGAGTTGCTGTGTTTATTTACTCTTAGGAGGCATAATATTGTACTTGTATTAATCACCCAGTTGGAGGTGAGACTACAGTAAAAACCCGCATATAAGAACCTAGGTTTTTCCAAGTTAGCCTAAACAGGTTCTTATATAAATGGTATTTAGTGTAAAATTAGGCTAACTAAGTTCTTAATTAGGTTCTTAACTTTTGTTGAAGAAATAAAGCTGAATTTTTAAATAATCTGGTGTTTAATGTCCAAAAACAGTATTCTTGGAGGCTTCGTTAAGCAAAATACTATACTATTTTAATCTGATTCTGTTACAGTCAAACCTATGGTAAAGTTTTATGTGACCATGCTATAGTGTTTAGAGTATTACTGCATACAGACTGTGTTATATATATATATATATATATTTTTTTTTTTTTGAGAAAATAAGAACCTGTTTTAGGATTTTAGCCTAAAATGGTTCTTATGTGAAGGGTGTTTAAAAATGAAATTTTAGCCTAACAGGTTCTTAAATGTGAGGTTCTTATACGCGGGTTTTTACTGTAGTGGATTAACCTTTAAGGGTTAAAGAAAAAAAAACCTCTTAGACTTCGCTAGTTTAGACAAAGGAAATTGAGAATCAACCTCAGTTAAAAACTGAATTCCATTTTGACCTGTGACATCTATTTTGTAAAACTGTCAGTTGAAATGTAAAGAGGACTTGGTGTGTTTTAAATTGTTAATTTGCTGTATTACTTTTGTGGTAATTATTTTAATGTGTGATATTCATCAAACAAATTAATGTTGTATATGTTATGTAACAGAGACTACAACAGGGGAATGATAGAGTCTTGTAAGCGTGTTTTATCTTTTGAGTCTGTGGATAAAATCCTGAGGTGTGACCATAGGCCCACCTGGGAAAACATTTGTTATTTCTTGCAGGTTTTTATTCATTTTTATTTCATTGAGAAATTGTCTCTGGGTTGTACTCATACACCTTTGAAAGTAAAACGTGTCCTTCTCTTTTACAGTAGCAGTGATCTTGTGACCCCCTCTCATGGAACTATCTTTAGCCCCTCCTGGCCACTCGAGTACCCCACACAAGCGGAATGTCGGTGGCAGTTCAGTCCTCCATCGGGAAAGATTGTTCGTCTCTTTTTCACAAGCGGTGTTTATCAAAAAAACCCTTTATGTAGAGATCATTCAAGGCCCATTACAGAGGATGACCAAGTTGTCCTATCCTATGGTACAGTTATTTAGCTATCTTTGCCACATAAATAGTTTAAATTGATTTTTTGATGCTCTGTTTATTAAAATATAGACTGGTTTTATATTTTTAATACTATGAAGTCCCCAGGTAATAATCACATGTATCACATCATCATAATAATTTTGAGCCTTCTTGGGCTATGTCATACCACACACTTCTGTCCAACATGCAGGCTCTTAATAAATTATTCTTCCTAGGAGCCTGCAGTGTTCCTTATGAAGGAGTCAATTTAAGTTAACATTTGTCCTCCACATGAATCCTGGACTTGCTGCCTCATGCTGTGTAGATCCATTTGGAGTCTTCATCTGTCCAGTCTTGCTTTCTAATAATAATAATAATATAATAGACCTGATATTGTAGTGTTGGAAAAGGAGGGAAGCTAGGGTGCAGTGCTTCATTGTCAGTGTAGCTTGCCCTTTTGATACACGGGTAGCAGAAAAAGAAACAGAGAAGATCTACCACTTTAAGGACTACAAAGTGGAAGTGCAAATTAAGATCTGGAACTGCAGAGGCTGTGTATCTGTCATCCCTATTGTAATAGGAGCTTTTGGAACAATGAGTAAACACCTATACTGTAAGGATGTTGATCAGTAAGTTGGGAACACCTGGGTCCCTTGCATTACTCCAGAAAGCTTGTTTCTTGGGAATAGAGAAGATCCTAAGAATGACCCCAGACAACTAAGGCTCAAAGGAGATCGCTTGATCCTTTGGGGAATAAGGCCAGGTATAGGTGTGAGACATACACATAATATTTATAGTAATGATGCAGGTAATGATAATAAATATTGACTATTTATCCAAGATAACCCCATCAGTATAAAGTAGCCACTGTTATCAATTGGGTTCTGCTGGAGCATGACTAAGAATCAGAAACTAATTAAGGAATAAGAATTACCAAAGTATATAAAATAAAATATATATTAAAAAAGCAAACATACACTAAGTTAAAAACTGTTTAAAACTGCAACAGAATTATTGTTTCTTAAACTTACAGGCACCTAAAAATAAAAAACTACACCATGCAAAATAATCCAGTTTGACCTTTGGCAGTTTTGCTGTTTTCCCATTATTTGTAGTGTTTAAAGCATTATGATATAATTGTTGAAAATAATTTTTCAATGGAAAACATGCTGTTCCATTAAGGCAGTCAAATACAAAACAGCATGTTCTCAATTAACTTCCGTTACTGTTAAAAATCGAAGATCTCACTTTTGGACTGCATAGTTTGCGGGACTGTGGCTATCCACGACTATAATAGCTGCAGTATGTAAATATTGACATAATACTTGGAAGGAGAGGGTCCAGGCTTCGCATCTATTTATTCCACTGTCGCTACAAATAAACTTAGTTTGTTTATAAAAGCTTGTCGGATGTCACTATTTTGGCTCATCCTTGGTAAAGATGAAAAGCTAACAAGTACTGCAAAAGAAAGAAAACAACAGAGAACCTAAGGAAAATGAAAGATTTAAAACAAACAAAAATTTCACAGGAGATTACACCAACGTAAATCTACAATTTCACTGTTGTTAGTTGCTGGGGGGGGGGGGGGTACAATGACAGCTGAACATGTTTACTCATTAAGGCCCCGTAAAAATATATTGATATTGACTGAGAATGAACCCAGCTCTGTTATCTTGTTAAGTGGAACATGTCTGTGACAAATGGGAAGTCAGTAAGTAAACAAGCATAGGAACATTATTGATTGATTGTTGTAGTTTTTGTTGGCAACTCTTGTGGTACTGTTCTTTGAATTTTCCTTTAATTCTACTATAAATTTATTAGTTGTTAGCACACAGACAACTGTGTGTAAACTGGTGATAACCTGTCAATCACACTGTAAGCAGAGATGCAGGTCTCCACTTCTACCCAGGTTTCTAATGGTATTTTCTCATATTTATTCTCCTATTCATCTAAAGGTACAAACACTACAGCCTTTGAGTACAAGTACAGAATTTGTTTTCTGCCAGACAATTTTTTTGTCATTGAGAATGTGACGGCCATTCATTTGCTCTTTTCTTCTAATGATGATCCTAGTGATAAAGGCACTGGTTTTATGGCTGGTTATGCCACATATGTTGAAGGTACCATTAGTAGTGATTACCATTATAATATTATAGCTGCCATAAAGTAACATACACATGTAGGCAGGCAGGATTCTGATGTACTCGATGGTGCAATTTTGCACAATTTATTGACCTTTAACGACCTCAAAACGCATCTGATCAAACAATTTAGGAAAATCACATACAAAATAATGTAATTTGTTTAAAAAACAATTCGACTGTTGGTTAAGTATATGAACTCAGAAATTGATAACATACAAGTTTTCCCTTCCTTTTTGTATTTAGGTAAAGTGGATCCTGATGCTGGAGGGTAAGAAAGCTTTTAACATGTGCTAGGAATTTTGAGAATTTATATATATTAAAGTTTGAGATGGAATTCTGCTTTTTCCCTCCACATGGAAGGTATTTGTTATTTAGGTTACAAATAATCATTACCTCTCCCTGCAAGTAGCCAGCCATGCCAGCTGCTCAAATATGACAATTTACATAGGCTGGAAAAGGAATAATATATAATGCGTAATAATAGTAAGGGGAGTAGAAAATATCAGTCTGTCAGCATTTTAATATAAGATGTACAACCTCTCTCACAATGCATTAACTTCCCTGTTTGTATGCAGTCTGACCACGTTGTTATAATGACCAGTTAGTTGTTAAAATGACTGAAAATCTTTTTCTTGAAAACCACTGGAGTTAATATTACCAGATTCCCATGGCCTTTGGATGAGCAGAATGACAAGGTTTCATTGCAGAAGAACAATGGGAAATGCTTATAATTATGCAGAAGTTGCAAAAACCAGACTTAAGATATTTTCCAGAATCACCTGGTCTCTCCAATTTGTCATACTGTCTAGTGTTGGATCCTTAAATTTTATGTGGTAACATGTTAATAAATATAATGTTACCATTATACGTATGCTATTCTTTATGTTTCCATAGCAACCGACTGTTGACAGGCATTCATTGCAACACTGGGAATTTCCCTTTAATCTGTTGTTTGTCTAGATTTCCAGATTAAATTATTACCTTTTAACATTACTTAGCATAATGTTATTTATTCATGTTGTCTTTCATGAATTTTTTGGTGTACTCTAGGTAGTCTTGCTACAACCATTAACACCTAAAACACCCTATTTTACAATGTTTAACAAAACCTTCAGCCAGTTAGAAGTTAAGCTACATTTTGTATCATCTCGACGTTTTAGAACAAATGTAGTTTTCAAGGTGGTGCAGATCTAGAGCAACTTCATTAAAATCGTGTTTTGCACGAACACATGAACACCGATCCTTCACAAAGCGAATTAGGTCACATAGGTAAAAATTTGTACTCGTGTTAGTGACGGTAAATCTTTACCACTGATTCTTGGAATCGGTCAAGAATTTTGGCCATGATACTTACAGTTGTTAGGCCATTGTGCTACAAGAATCACGTAGTGCATGACAAGCGATTCACATCTCAAGAGAGGATGGTAACTTACTTTTGAGCGGTACTGTATATTTTCCAGTGTTAAACCTTGATTTATTCATTTGGTGCATCACCTGCAGAAGATGATAATTGGCCAGTAACAGAAAGATTCAAGTATTTTTATTCGGTGGTAAATTTGAAGGATAACCAGTTCTTAACTGTATTTACCGACCCCTTGTTTCCACTGACCAGAATGAAATTTTATAATAATGTGAGGCTGCTGTGTTACTGGGGGCATAATGCCAGCATAATTAATATCTGGTTTGTTCAGTTTTTGTACCACCTCCTCCTTAATAAATTATATTATCATTTTTGATTTGCAGCTGTTGGAGGCCTCCTACTGAAGGCACAACAAGTACAACCACTAAAGCTTCTACAAATCCTACTGGAACTGAGAAAAAACTCTCTGGTGAGCCATCACTTTCATACAAAAGAAAAATATTAGATAATTGTATCCAAGTTTTCAGTGTCTTTACATAATTTATTGCATGTTGTATATTAAAGTTGTTGTTGATATATAGGTTTTCGATTTTATTTAATTTGTGTGTGTTTGTTTTTCCTGTTGGTGTGATTTGTTATAAAATAGCTTAACATAACAGGACACTCAGGACTACATTTACATGGGTATATCATACACCCTACATCATACATGTGTACAGCTGGAACTAACATATAGATTTAGCCAGGGCTAAAAGCAAAGCTCTCGATAATATTTATAGTTTGTTCAAACAAAAATAATATAAAATCTTGTAATGGTAAGCAGCGAAGGCAATGCTGGAGAATGGTGAAAAACAACAATAGATCTAATTAGCAAAAGAAGCAACTTTGCCTGGCAGCACACTTTTTTTGGTACATCTCTTTGCCGTTGTTTTGCATGACTACAACTTGAAACTTCCAGAAACTTCTTAGTTGCACGTTTTATGGAGGAAATGTCGTATGTGTTCTTGTTCCTTTTTTTTTTCACAGCCGCTCATTTTCACCATGCATTGGTGGCCTTCTCATTTTGCTACCACCGCTACAAAATTTTCATGTTGCTCTTCCAACCAAAAAATGCCTATTTTGTTTTTTGTCTCTCGCTCTAGATCTCTGTCGCCCTTTTTCTCATTGAGCTTCGCTGGCCTGCTGCCTACTTTCTCCTTTTCTCTGTCTTTCTCCTGCTTTATATTCCAAATTTGTGGACATGACAATTAATCTAAGCTAAATACTTTAGACAACACGGATACAGAAACGCTTTCCACTTTCCGTTTTCGTCTTTATTGACTCTTTTGTTGTCTCTGCTCTACAAGACGCCAGTGGCTATGCGATTTCCCGCCAAAATAACCTCGGGTTGCCTTTGGGTTGCCATACCTGTTGATTGAGTTATTTAACATTGGTATGCCTGTGGTGCAGACAGAAGGTCACTCGGGCAGTCACTCTATGGTCACGTGATTATCAAATTTTCTCGGATGGGTAGATTACTTCATTTTCTTACCCATGGTGCTCCGCTGGTGCGCTTCACGCGCGAGAGCTCTGCTATAAAGGAAAAACTCTCTTGTGAATCATCACTTTCATACAATAGGAAAATAATTAGATTTTTCATCCAAGTTTTCAGTTTCTTTAGATTATTACGTGTTGTACTAGAAATAGTTCTCACAAAAATCTGCCCCCACCTCTTGAAGATATTCCGAGGGAGTGGTGCGCTTCTCGCGCGAGAGCTCTGCTATAAAGGAAAAACTCTCTTGTGAATCATCACTTTCATACAATAGGAAAATAATTAGAATTTTTAATCCAAGTTTTCAGTTTCTTTAGATTATTACGTGTTGTACTAGAAATAGTTCTCACAAAAATCTGCCCCCACCTCTTGAAGATATTCCGAGGGATTTCTGGGGGCTCCGAGCAAGATTGGTGAGTTTTTAAAAACCGGTAGCTGCTCTGTTGAGCAAGCTGTCAGTTATTTTACTGTTAACAGTCTCCCAAAAACTATTAATCCATTCGCCTGAATGCTTTTTACATAGCTTACGTTGTCATCGGCTCGTGAATAAACTTCTGGTTATTTAGCTGTTGCTGTGTTACACAATAATTATATTGTGGTATTCACCGTAATGTCAGTGAATTAATTGTGTACATGTAGTAACATCGTTGGGTTCTAGGAAAGACAAGTGAAGAAAGCCCACTCAGGGCCTCGGTGTTTAGTTTGAATCTAACTGGTTCTTGAGCAGATGGCATCATTTGTGTCATGTAAGGTATAGCCTCCATGTTTCTCAGTGCCTTACTGTTAATCATTAACTAAGAAAGACCTTTACAAGGTAAAAATGAGATGATTAGACACTGTATTAACATGAATAAAAGGTTTTTTTTTTCTCTTGATGGCAGGAACAATCATTTTTCGCATAACAGTATAGAGTAACAGCATTTTTGACAGATATAGTCTTTCCAGGGGGTGCCAAACCAAGTTGGAAATTCCAGGGGGGTGGGGGTCTAAAGCAAAAATGCCCTCCGTGGCAATTATGGATATTTTCTGGAACTTCATGTACTCAATTCACCGACATTTGACATTTTAAGTGCTTTTGAGTTATTCATTTTTTACTTTAAGAAAAGTTTTCGCCACCGTCTCTGTTGTGGTTGCCCTAGTGAAAGTAAAGCTTAGCAACCTAGCTGATACTAAACCTGACCAAAACTGGATACTACTTTGCATGCCTAGTTTTGATCAAATCTGAAACGCTTCCCATACTACAAACATACTCTTAATACAAACTGTTTTCAGCGTCTACGGCACCTACTCCAGAACGTAATGGAAAACTCTCTGGTGAGCCAAAAGATATTCACATTTCAGTTTATCTACTTTTGTTATTGAGTGTTGTACAAGTTAATGTTGATATGTAGGTTTTCTTCTGGTTATTTAGCTGTTGCTGTGTTACACAATAATTATATTGTGGTATTCACCATAATGTCAGTGAATTAATTGTGTACATGTAGTAACGTCGATGGGTTCTAGGAAAGACAAGTGAAGAAAGCCCACTCAGGGCCTCGGTGTTTAGTTTGAATCTAACTGGTTCTTGAACAGATGGCATCATTTGTGTCATGTAAGGTATAGCCTCCATGTTTCTCAGTGCCTTACTGTTAATCATTAACTAAGAAAGACCTTTACAAGGTAAATTGAGATGATTAGACACTGTATTAACATGAATAAAAGATTTTTTTTCTCTTGATGGCAGGAACAATCATTTTTCGCATAACAGTATAGAGTAACAACATTTTTGACAGATATAGTCTTTCCAGGGGGTGCCAAACCAAGTTGAAAATTCCAGGGGGTGGGGGGTCTAAAGCAAAAATGCCCTCTGTGGCAAGTATGGATATTTTCTGGAACTACATGTACTCATTATTCACCTACATTTGACATTTTAAGTGCTTTTGAGTTATTCATTTTTCACTTTAAGAAAAGTTTTCGCCACCGTCTCTGTTGTGGTTGCCCAAGTGAAAGCAAAGCTTAGCAACCTAGCTGATACTAAACCTGACCAAAACTGGATACTACTTTGCATGCCTAGTTTTGATCAAATCTGAAACGCTTCCCATACTACAAACATACTCTTAATACAAACTGTTTTCAGCGTCTACGGCACCTACTCCAGAACGTAATGGAAAACTCTCTGGTGAGCCAAAAGATATTCACATTTCAGTTTCTCTACTTTTATTATTGAGTGTTGTACAAATTAATGTTGATATGTAGGTTTTAATAATAATTTTGTTTAATATATGTGTGTATTGTTTTTCCTGTATATGTGATTTGTTGTGATACATAGCTAGACATTTTCAGTCCTATTCAGCACTACACTGACCCAGCTGGCGATCATATGCCATCTACGTACTTACATATATGACTTCTGGGTTTGAACCTATCACAGTTTTGGACATAATATTACAATTGTGAGATATAATTCCAAGTGTTTCTTTTCTGAGGAAACCTGACAGGGTAAAACCTTCAATTAAATGTCCACTACAAGAAACGTTGACTTCTTGATGTGATATTCCCGTAATAAGCTGGTATAGAAGCTGACAGTCTCATCCCAGTTTTTTTTTTTCTTTTCTGCTCCTGACAGGAGGTGTAATTGCAGCAATTGGGATCGGAGCAGTGCTTGGTGTATTAATATTTGGGGCTTTGGTTTGGTACATAATATGCTGTTGCAAGAAAAAGAAGACGTCAGCTGAGACAAAGGTATTCCTGGAAACCCAGCCAGCTTAGAAAAGTGACTAGTAAGACCTTAAAATGGAGCCCAAAATATGATTGTCAAAGCCATTGTCCAACAAGGGATCAGCTAGCTGTTGCTAGTTGCTGCAGTAGGGCAAATGCGGTGTTTAGCTGTTACAGTATAATCAAGCATAATTTAAAATACCTGAAAAGATTTTTAAAAAAAAGTAATAATAGTAATAATAATAATTAACAATAATTGTTAATTATTATTACTATTATTATTCCTTGAGCCCAAATGGGTTATTGACTCTGAGCCCATTCGGCCTGAGGAATAATAATAAGCAAAATCCAACTAGTTGGTCAAAAATATCAAGACAAGACAACTGTAACTAGCAAAACGCGATTCAGCCGCCATGGTTTTGGTTTTCAAAACTGGCGCTTTTATCCATCAAGTGAAAGTGAAGACAAAGCAACAGTCTAATGGCAAGTGCCTGTAGGTTCATGGTTTGGACCTTTCAGGCCCTTTTGATCATAATAATGACGACAGCAATAACAATAATAGTAATATTTATGGTTGTTTGATAATGTAGCAACCACATGCAGAAGTGAAGTTCATTCTTACATTAGACTGAGCTGTGATTGCTGCTGCTTGCTTTACTGGGCCAATAACCTGTTGCTGCTGTTACTAACACTATACTGTTGCTAATTACCAATAGTGAGCTTTTCATCACTGTAATGTACTAGTTCTTTGTAAATACTGATAATAGAGTAAAAGCAATGTCACATGGTTTCTCAGAGAGTAAAAGTTGATGAAAAAACCTGCCAATACAGGAAATCATGCCTTCATGAGTTTTCTTGTTTTACTGACAATAAAAAGGGAAGAGTTTGTTATGTTGTTTCCAATGACCTTGGCAAAGGAGAGGGACGTGGGGGTGATCACTGTACCATTTCTGGACGCTACTTACTCCATACATCCTCAGCATAAATTTTAACCAATAATTAATGACAAGTATTTTTTACGTGACTTAAGTTGTTGCCTCATTTTATGGAAATAAACTAACCGGCCATCACAGTTCTTTGCATTACCTGTAGCTTTTGTCCACTGGATAGAGACCATGTGACTTTTCATCCCACAAGTACTGTGAAGAAGCTCTAGCGAGTTGTTTGAGTGACTGCAAGAGTATGTGATTGTAATAGCAATAACAGTTGTAATAATGTCAATGGTGATAGACTTTGTTTAAAGTTTGTCTCTTTATAACTTTGCTGTTGATTGAGACAGACGTGAAACTAATCACAGATACTAATGTAAAGTGTAAGAGGAGATACCAAGTGCTGGTCTCCAATATATTCACATAGTAACTTACTTATCCTGTAACTTGCGCATCTTAGCAATTTAGATTAACAGAAAATAATGTGATAAGCTTTTACTTATGATTGGCCACAGTCAGATTAAGAGAAGCCAATTTTCCTTTCTGAACTTTCTGTTTGTGGATATAGCCCAAGACTCATCAAGTAATAGGTTAAGTGAGGGGTCATGCATCCAACTGTACATATAATGACCTATGGTTAGTTACTCCAGCCTTGTTGGCCACTGTGTTCAACTTACAATGTGAACTTAATGTGCAATAGTCACTCACCTTCAGGTAATAGTTACTGATTAGTTGGCTGGTTGGCTTACCCTCATGGTGATGTTACAACCCCCCCCCCCCCCCCCCCCCCCCACCCCCCCCCCCCCCCCCCCCCCTTCGAAAAAAACTGAGTTTTTGGTTTTTGGGGGCCGGGGGTTTGGGGTCGGGCGGGAGGTCGGCTTTTTCAAAAGAATTTTTTTTTTTGTTTTTTTTATTGGGGGAATTTTTTTTTTTTTTTTTTTTTTTTTTGGGGTCATTTTCCCTTCCTCTTTTTTGTGTTTTTCTTTTTCTGTTTTTTTTTGTTTTTTTAATTTGCCCATTGTGTGTGCTCCACCCCCCCCCCCCCCCTCCCTAACCTACCCCACCCCACCGATCATTGAGATATAACTTGAGTCTTGAGTTTTGAGGTCCTGGTAGTCTGCGTCAGGCTGGAAGTCTGCATTTCACAAGTACATTGTTATATGTGATCATTGAATGGAGACATTATTCTTTTATTATCTTTTATTTGCAGGGTCAAATTCCCCTGCGATGATGATGTATTATCTGTTTCCGTTTTAAGTTGATTAAGTAACATGCCCACGCCAAAAACAATTAATTTTTTGTAGTTCCACCGCTCTTTAACGTGCACTCACTTGTAGTTTGGTCGTTTTTTTGTGTGTTTTCAAAACAAAATCCTCTTTTCCTTGGATTATTTAAATTGGCCGAGTGTAAGTATCTGGTATGAGTGGATATTTTAAGGAAGGTCGTGATCTGGAAAGGAGTCTCTTGCCATATTTGGTACATATTTATAATTAAAGTTCCTATGATGCTCAGATGACGATACTTTCCCCATCCTTTGCCAGGAGTAACTAGAGCTAACCAGCTAACTGAACAATAACTGACTACTAACTGCGTTAATACCTGAAAGTGAGCCAGTTAACTAGAAACAGTTGTTTGCTCGAGAAATGCACGGTCCACTGTAGCCTCTGCTAACACCACTGACTCAAATAATACCATAATACTTTACCGAAGCAGGGTGTGGTCAGTTGAAATGGATTTTCTGATTAAGAAAAGGGAAGTGGCCAATAAATTGCACTCTGATAAACTGTGTTTTCCCAAGTCGTGGGTACAACACTAAATCAACCAATCACATTGCGGGTATGATTCTCTAGTTTAAAAAATCTAAATTATGCCAGAAAAGTTGATTTTTACAGGTTAGAGTTTCAAAAAAGTATTTGTAGAGGAACGTTCGTATATGGAAAATGGTCCACACTTTCAATGAACCTTGTTGTCTGAGAGCGGTCAACGCAAGTTTTACTTATCCTACAATTGGCTTGTGTGACCATCGTTGTTTTTAGAGTTTGTTATCGGTAAATAGCTTGCCTGTTTATTTGTGCACGATATAAGATTAGCTTTTAGTGGGCCTTACCTAAAATTTAAGTACTTCACTAACATACCACCACATTTTAACAGACCATTTCAAAAGACATCAACTTAAACGAAAGAAATATACGATCTGTTCGGCGCTGGCGGTATGGTCGTTGCTAACGGTCGGAGAATTCAACCTTAAAGTTTAATCACCGAGCTGTTACTGTATGTCGGGCGTCGCCATTTCAGTGTTATATTAAAGGGTGTGTTTACACGAGCCTGTCGAAGTTTGTAGATCCGTTACAGGTCCTTGTCCATGCGTGAACGATCATCAACGGATATTTTCATAAACAGTCTTTCGTGAAATAAATTTCCTTCTTGTGTGATCGAAACCCTAGCAAGCATATGAACATGCCTCAGTATCATTGTTATTTTAGCTGTTTTGTGTGTAACCACACGGCTTCTCATAGGTTTGTGACGGACTCGTGTGAACAACATGCCTCAGTATCATTGTTATTTTAGCTGTTTTGTGTTTAACCACACGGCTTCTCATAGGTTTGTGACGGACTCGTGTGAACATGCCTCAGTATCATTTTTATTTTAGCTGTTTTGTGTTTAACCACACGGCTTCTCATAGGTTTGTGACGGACTCGTGTGAACAATCTTGAGTATCATTTTTATTTTAGCTGTTTTGTGTTTAACCACACGGCTTCTCATAGGTTTGTGACGGACTCGTGTGAACATGCCTCAGTATCATTTTTATTTTAGTTGTTTTGTGTGTAACCACACGGCTTCTCAGGTTTTTTGTTATTTATATATAATTAACAATAGTGTATGAGTCGTTTCGGGTCTCACCCAGTTTTTGTAGTCGCTGATTTATTACTTGTTGTCGGTGATATAAAATAGCTATAATATAGCTTTAATTACTTTATATAGACGTAATTTATAGCCGGCGTGCAAATGTCTCCTTCTCTCCTTGCTTTAGAAGCTATTTCAGTGACGTCTGCACGAAGTAAATAATTTGGTTGCTGGGTTTTGCGAGCTCCAATGTAACCAGGATATTAGTGTTGATTTTAGAACAACTGAGCGGTTGTCCGCGCGCTGATTGGTGGAGTATGTACGGTGAAAAAGACGTTTGGCATGCCGTAATTTGTTTTTTCCTTTCTCACGCGCTCAGGTTTCCAAGAAACTTCGCCAAAAAATGGGCGATTAAAAAAAGTAGACATTTTAAAGAAAAACAAATAATATAACCGTGACTAAGAAAATGGGTAATTTTTAATCAGTGTGTGACCTAGATTTGTTATCTCCGATAGTTTAACACCTGGGCCCAGTTGTTCGACGGCCGACTAGCGCTTAACCCGGGGTTAAATTTAACCCGGGTTTCTTTTTCTTGTGTTCAAAAACATTTTCTCGCATAATTTTCTCTGTTATTTTTAGAGCTTCCAATCATCAACTTGTAGACAAAAAGAATTACAACTGAAATGCGTTTTAAGCTTTCATATCTGAATTCAAATCTCGCGCTAACCCTGGGTTATCTTAACCCAGCTTTGAACAACTCGGCCCTGTATGTTTTACGCGCAATGATACCAGTTTACTGCGAAACTGAATAAATATGTTCATTATTATTGAATAGTCAATAATGTCCATTGCCACTATTATAGATCTAGACCACAGAAATGACGTCAAAATGTTCGAATTTCAATTGGAACGGCGAGTGGTTACATTGCAATGTTTTGAACATCTTGACCACCTGTGCCTCTATATATTCAAGTAAGAGTCGATAAGAGTGGAAACTCGGAAAGAGCATTGTCGTCAAACCAAAAGTCTGACTTTCTATATTTGCCTTGTTTACGGGTAAAGACGCGTTTTTTAAATAAAGTCAAATCTTGTTTACACGGATACTCTGGGGGCCATAGAAAGTGTCCGTATTAAAGCGGGTAGAGTTTAGAGAAATTTAAGGGCTTTCTTTTCCCAGGTACAAGGAAAACTGTCCGTATTAAGCCGGTGTCCGTAAAGCGGAGTTTGACTGTACTTTCCCGAAAGGTGAAACAGAGATTATCATGTTGAGAGCGTGGTACCTTACACGCACCAATTTCTGTTTCACTATCGCCCTGGGTTGATGATTGCGGGTATTTTGCTGTTTATTAGTTTCAGTTCAAGGTATTTATTGTGGCTGCAGTTAAAGTTTCTAGATTTTAGACATATTTTGAATATGTTAAACCTGTTCTTCCTTGTTGCACGTACTTATGTGATTTTATTTCAATAAGTTATAAAAGAAATAAAAGTGTTTTGCACTCTAATCGTTGTTTGTTGTTTAACCCGCCGTTTATTGTGGTATTCTTAAACCCTTAAACTAATGACACCATAACAGATTTTTACTTTTTCCTGCCAATTCCAGACAACGTTCTCCTGCCTCATAACTATTGCTTGCGGGGTTGTAACTTGAACTCTATTTCTGCTAGGTTTTTCATGTTAAACGCAGGATTTTTGCTGGTTTATATCACGTGACGTGTTATCTAATAAGATCGAGGTACCAATTAAAGATGGGCCCAGGTTAACCTTGTTTGCAGGAAACGGAATTGTTAGGGTTAAGCAATCACTTCTGTAGAGTTAGTTTGGTAGAACTATCGCTTGTTACGCCGCACGGTAACTTTTGACGCAAATGAAAGCATAGTAAGTAAGTAATAACTTTATTTAACGAGGGTAAAGACATTGATTACTGGTCACCCAGTAGTTTTCATAATGGCCCTCCTACAATTAAAGTAATAAAATGTATCGATTAATTAATTAACTACCTATATAATCTACCAACTAAAATTACATAATGAACTGCTATTAATACAATATTGATTAATTGACTACTAATGAAACTAAAAGGTTTTACAAATCTTAAAATGATCAAGAAAAGAAATCATGCTGCGGTAAAGTTTAAATAAGTAATTTTTAAAATTAGTATGGAAAGCGAATTGTAGCAACGTTTTACCCAAAATGTAACAACTTTTTGAACTCGAAATTCAACAAGACTGGCGCAAAGTGGAACAATATTTTTAAAGGCAAATATAACAATGCAAAATGCAACAGCATTGAATTTACTTGGACAAATACTATTTTGTCAAAAATGTTGCAACTGTGCTGCGGTGAAAACCCTCTCGTGAAGTATCACTGTTATTGTTGCAATCGCCACAAAAGGCCAAATAACTTAAACAACAACAGTTTCTTTTGGAAGGATAACAACGGAGTTGAACTTGACAACTATCTTCTGACGCGCGCGTCAGGAAAGGCTTGAAATTGATCAGCACTGTTCTGATAGAATTCAGCACCGAGAAGGGGCAAATGATTTTTTAAATACTTCCCACTTACATAGGTAGTGTAAAGTTCACATTTTTTATCACCAAAATAACAATTCCTTAAATAGCGTAATTCAAACTTCCACTTGTTGTTGAAGGTGGGTCGATATAGCCGGAAGTCACTTCCTCCCTCTTCACCCGGCTCCCGCCTTTCCCACCCAGGAATCAGGCTCACCGTGGCGCTGACAGCTTCGTAGAGCAGAAATATATTAAACTTTACCCCGACATTTCCCCATGAAACCTCATGAAGTTGTTCCGTTTTGCAAATAAGATAATTCCTGAGCTGGCTGCCAGGCCCTCTGAAAAATATATTTAAAAAATGATAATTTTTGATGGCCGAGGAGCGCACCTTTCCATTGCTTTAGAATCAGCAGGTCATTATCAATGGCGGTCAAGGCAATGGAATTGGGGCAACAGTACGTCATCAGTTTGAAAATAATATGCCGTTCAAAACGATGGAAAGATTTATTGCTAAGAAATAAGTTTGAGAAGACTTTTTTTTTTTGGTATTATTTTGGCAGACTTATATTTGTATTTCTTCATAATTGCTCACGGCAATGGGAAGTTGCATAGGGAATTCGTCTCCAAAAGCAGTCCCATTATGCACTCAGCCCAGTCTGAAGTGCAACCTCACAATAGCCATGAATGCAAAATAACTCGGTTATAGAGTTATGCCTGTTGAAAAAGTACCACTGATTGTTTGCCCATGCGTGTTGAGTCACCTGGTGAGTTTTTGAAAACAATCACATTGATCGAGAAGGCCTGGGAAGACGCCGTACAGGAGCTAAGCAATATGATTGTCAGTGGGAGCATTTGAAACGGTCCCACACCACTAGGAAGTTACTTAGAAAAAATTAGAATAAGAATCGTTTTTTTAAACTTAGAAAAAATTAGAATAAGACATCGTTTTTTAAAGTCTAATCCAGAAGACTACCTTATTGGGAAGTACCAGAATCCTTCCAAGAGTTCTCGATTGCCGAGTTTACTGGCCATAATTTCCTAATTCTTACACGCAAACTGCGTCATTAAGTTGAACATCAAAAGTGTAGTGCGGATTCTTACAGTTGGGTTATCGCATATTTTGTTTGGTTACGTTTCTTGACCAAAAAAAGACCAAGTTTAATTAATGAAATAACAACTGTCTACCTCCATTATTTAAGTAGAATAATACGCTTTTTGTATACGACGCAGCGCATTCTATTGATTTCACTTCCCTTCACGATTGACGTCATTACTTCTTAATTTATCATGCTGGTATCTTGGTGATTGGTTGATTGAATTTAAGCCAATATTTAGAATGAATATCAGGCTTCCAAGGTTCACAAGTCATTACTGAGTACATTTATGAAAAACGTTTGGAACAAACGTTAAGTTGTCATGGCAAACACTTGTGCTTCACGGCTTCCATGTAGAAATTCCACTCGATATCTTTTTAGCATCTCCTTTTTCTTGGCAATATTCATTATTCTTGCCTTCATCGATTACGAAAGCATCTACAAAGGAACAAATAGCGAGCCAGTGTCGAGATATAAACAGTCACAACTACAAAGGAAAGTTCCCGGAAGGTTTGATGGCGGTGAACGAGAACATTTATGGCAAGATGAAAGCCGAGACTCCAAAGGTCTACAGGAACTGATGAGTCAGTACGCGGAAGCTGATGTAACTTTGACTGAGGCTGATAAACCAAATTTGCCGCATGCCCCGGCGGAGCAAGATAGAACATTACCTTTTAAAAAAATGTTTGCAAACGCCGAAGAGAAAGGCAAAAAAAGGAGAAAATCATTGAAATGGAACAACATGATAGTTCCGTTAACTGATTTGGAGGAAGAAGAAAATAAACACCAAGTTTTGCTGCTGCTGATAGTATCAAGTGCACCTAGAAGATATGACAGAAGAAACGCCATCAGACAAACATGGATGAGCAAATGCGACACTGGAAAGGTAGTTTTCATGTTGGATCATGAATTTTTAGATATACAAATGATTTTTAGAGATACAAATGGATCTCATATACGTTCATGGGTGCAGTGAAATGAAAATGAGAATGTTAAAAATTGCATTTTGGGGGAGGGGGGGCAGCCTAGTGCACTGCCTACGTTAAAACGATTCTTTTTTCAGCATTATCATATTTTAAGAGAAGAGTTTTCATCAGAGAGTTTCAAGAGTTTTTTATATCGAAAATAATTATAGCTGTGAAAAGCATTTGATAAACTCTTTCGAGCGTAATATACAAAAGCACTTTTACTTAGCTTTGGCTCCGATGAAAGCTAACCGAGTTTCAGACCTTTTTTTGTTCGTCCTCGTTTTTTTTTCTTTTCTGTGCGATAAGAACCAAACTAAAGCATTGAAAAGAAAGAATAGTATCTTATTGCCACTTTTTATGCTGAAAAAAGTAATGGTTTCTCAATGGTAAGAAGTGCATGAATGATTTATTATTTAAATTTTAACTGAAACAAAGGAAAAACCAGTAAGCTGAATAAACATGAGAAAATATTCACCAAAAATATAATAAACAAAAATTGACGAAGTTTTTGGAGAATTTCATGATGTGTCCGTTAACTGAAAAACATTTAAGGAAATCTTTATTTTCCATGATAAGTATAGTTTTCTTTCAGTGTGATGCATGCGCCAGGGCTTTTGAAGGTAGCATTTTTGACGAGGTTTTTATAGCATCTCACTGCCGCTTTTTATGTTGAACAAAATGAATGGCTTCTCATTGGTAAGAAATGAATAACCTATTACTCAAATTCAGTGTAACTTAGACAAAAGAAAAAGCTGAGTAAATATGAAAAAATGAATATTTACCAAAAATATAATAAAAGGAAATTAACGAAATTTTTGGAGTACTACTTTACGTATATTTCATGAATGTTGAACATACAAGTGAAAAAAAATAGAAAATAAAAAAGGGGGAAAATAAAAGTTAATTGAAGAAATATTTGGAGGTATTTGTAGATTTCTGGAAATTATATATCTATAAAGGTTATCTCTGTTGATTCTGTGATTTTACTAAAACGAGGAACGGTCATGTCACGGGAAATGGGAACCTCAAATAAACCTGAGCCCTCAGTATCAGTGAGCCAGCCCACGAGTTCACCATTCAAAACTGAGATCAGTGATTTTTTCCAGGCTAGATGCATCTTTTTCACAGACGGCCTTCAGCTTGAAGAAGCTCAAACTTCAAAGCTACTGAAAGAACTAAGCATTTTTAAAGACATCAAATTTTCACCCACAGATATTGACGCCATGATATTCGGAGAACGCTTTCTTTACCAGATATTGTGGGCGAAAGCAAAGTTCAACTTCCAGTTCCTCTTACGCGTTGACGATGATTATTTCATATGTATGGAAAGACTTTTGTACGAGTTACCTTTTAGACCAAAAAACAACCTTAGCTGGGGTGTGTACCATTGTCATGATGAGGATTTAGTTTACATGGATGAATCATGGGCGCTGTTTTCTCAAGATGTTATCCAGCAGTTTCTGTCTCAAGATCCTCAGACAATGTTATGCCATCCTTTCGGAGATCAAACTTTTACTTTGTGGATAAACGCGTCAACTCTAAATCTTAACGATTTTAATGATCACAGACTCCATTACTGGCCACCTGCAGGTAAATTGGAGAAGTTTTATTCTATTAAGAATGTTTGTGACAAGTTCCTGGGAATACATGGCAGTTACCCGGATGTAATGCGGTATTTGTGGTTAAATAATAATGATAGCCGCAAGGATATAACTGATCTAACGCTATTAAGAGAGTCTTGCTTTTTCCAAAAGGTTTTCGACGTCAATAAATTTAAAGGAGTATATGGTCACAAGCCAAGACGTTGTCTGGAGAAACCTCGCTGGGTTTCGATGCTTAAGTCTTGGGCAGGCAGTGAGAGTCTTGAGTTAACAAGATAAAATATTAACCTGGGTGGCGCGAAAGATTTTAAGTCGCATTTCGTACAACTAAGTTAACTGCTGGGAACTAATGCTCTCAGGTAAATAGTGAAAATAACAAACATGACAGAGGAAAAAAGTTCATCCTTAAGGTAAATTGAAGATAAATTCTGTCGATTACAAATTAATTTTGAAAGCTGTAAGTCAAAGTGCAAGAAAAGGTACTTCAAAAATTAGGGTTACCCTCAGTGCTTTCCTGCCCATTACCAGCTTCTCTGTCATGCGTCAGTATGAGTTGCTTCTTAGTTTCTGTAGCTTGATACAAGAATGTTATTCTAAATTAACGGTAAATTAAATGACAGCATGTCAGCCTGGTGTTCATTGCATAGTCACTCGCTTGTAAAGCTGAAAACCAGCGGTTGCACGTCCATGGAGCCTTTAGTCTGCCTAGCAGGCGCTTGGAAATAGTGGGCGAAAGAGAGAGCGGGCGCGCGAGGGAGACACGCGTGTCTTCTTCTCGCGCGCCCGTTTTTTCCTGTGCCCGCTACTTCCAAGCGCCTGCTACGCAGGCGATGAAGCCTTCCGATCCAAGTAACCTGGAGGAACGTAAAAGGAAAGGCAAACATTTTTCTCTTAGTTATTGTGTCCACGGCCCCATCTAGACAGAAAAGAAGGGCAGCCATTCGAGAAACATGGTGGAGCAAATGCCACAGCGACGGCAAGGTAAATTACTATATATACCTTGGCTCTTTAAGTGAACCTTCAAGCTTTACCTGCTGGTGCCCAGCTGTGTATAGTTAAAACTCACATGCAGTATATATTTGAGAGCGCTTCGTCGTTCATCCTAAAGCGGCTCTTTTAGACTGTCTACTCCAAAAGTTTATTTTGGCGAAGTAACAGCGACACAGCGAAAGAAAGAGGTCACACCTCTAACAGATATTTCACAAACCTGTAATAAACCGAATGTATTTAATATTTCCTTCATGGGCAAGCCATACAAGTTTAATTTAATGCCATGTATCGAAAATACGCAAAGGACTCCTAAAAGAACAAGTGTGACTTGGGTATACTCTGGGGGAAGTAAATTAACAAACGTATGTTAATCTAGTTTACAATTAATATTTTTTTCAGAACAGCCGTTTTATGGCAATTATTCGACATTAGATTCTCATACAAACACTGTTATTTCTCACACGTTTGCCTACTCGTCAAGATGGCTTCGAAAACCGTGACAAGGTCTATTTAAGATGAAGTGTTCAGGTGTGTTTCTCAAACTCTGATTTTTACGGTCTCTTATACTTTTAAAAAGTCTCCAGTAACCGAAATAAATGATGAACTTTCTTGCATATTTGGAATTAAGCTTCTAGCCATTCAAACTCTGAAGAGAAAAAAGAAAAAAGAAACAAGAGTTGCTTGTCTCGCCGGCTTCCCTCTCCATGCCTCGATATACGCATGCTAAGCATATTTGTAAACACTTTTTCTAAACGAGAATATAATAAAAGCAAAGCTTCTGGCAACACCTTCTACCGGCAATTGTATCGTACTGTACAAAAAGTAAACTTAGGGCCTGTTTACATAGAGTGGGGGACCCCGGTCTAGTGGGGTAAGTTTCTTTTGTTTTCACGCTCTGGGGGACACAAAACAAAAGAAACTTACCCCACTAGACCGGGGTCCCCCACTCCATGTAAACAGGGTCTTAACCTGCCTCGTTTTCCTATGCCTGTCACGGCTTTATATTCATTCGTCACATTGTTAACAGGTTGCATTACATGTTGAGATCAGAATGTACAATTATGATACATAACAAAACCTTTTCTCCTAAACTCAAAGAGACATGCAAAATTGACTCTGCCACCTGAAAGTTATACCAAACAAAAAGGTTTTCGATTCTGTTATGGCGTCACTAAAGTTGGCTGTTATTACACTGGTCACCTTTTCACTGCCCTTGAGTTGTGTGCAAAGTAAAAGAGGTGGGTATCAAAAGGCATATTTTCCCATGTTTTGTTCACACATGTAAATTAGACAAAGGCCAGAATTTCGCGCCGGTTATTTAAACTGGAAGACTAGCTGAGACCGCGGTTTACAACAAACGTGGACCTCCAGATCTTTGGTAAGTAGGTTGGTTTGCCACGTATATAGATTCTATCTTTTTCTTCTCTGTAATGGGTGCCTACTCCATTGTCCACAGAGAACAACCTTTTGATAAGGCTAGGATTGGTTAATACTGGAAACGTATGGCTTGGAACACCGTTTTTTAAAGTAACCCACTAATTTACATAGGTGTTTTTGTTGTTGTTGTTATAATCTTTGGAAACGGATAACAGGATTTCTTTTAGCTTAACATCTTCAAGTAAATCACTGGGCCACCATTGAATTTTCCCATTTCGTCAGTTATTCTAAACGTCAACTACAATTTTAACCTTGTTTCTAAGGTTTTACAAAATGTCATGTATCTAGTGCACCTATTAATACTGGCACAGCGGGGCTGATGCTTTGGGATATACAATACCGACTACGACTTTTTTCTTTGTCTTCAAAATTTTTCTTATTCGACAGTTTGATGTTGCAAGTACACATTGGTACTATAAAGGTGTCTTGAAATCCATAACGACTAAAAAAATATTTAGCGACAGCTATACTGTTATAGTCCCATCCAGCCATCTTTTAAAGGAATGCACACGAAGAAATTTGCGCGAACAATGAAAAAATACAAAAGGCTTGAGTCATAAAAAAAAGAGTTTCAATGTAGAGTTGAGTGAATTGTTATAAAGATAAAGATTTCAAAAAATTGGAGGTGGGAGATGGGGGGCAAAGAAGTGAAAACATATAAAGAGTTGCTGCTAAAATTTAAGTGGTAGCACTAACTTCGCCGACCCAAGAGTTTTTCAAAATATACATCCCTAAAGCGAACGGTTTTGGGCCAAAGAGACTAATGCAAATTAATTGAAAATATCAAAAAATGTATTGATAATCGAGAGAAAAAGGATAAGTGTTCGACTGGCTGACAAGAAACCTGAATATTTAATCGCCGCAATGAACAATCTTATTATTGCCGGTAATGGATCAATACTAATCAGTAAAAGTGTTTCTAAATCTTCAATTCACAAATGCAACCTTCGATCACATTTCAGATTCTACTTCGCATCCTACCCTTCCCGAAAACTGGGGCATTTTTTTGCTTTATGAGGGTTGCTTCCAGTTGAATGAAACTCCTGCGAAAGAACGGACAGATGCCAAGAACAACAACCACGTCTGCAATGATTACTGTGACAGTGAAGGAAAAACATTTTCAGCGACCATTGGTGAACGATGCTTATGCTTTGACAGCCGCCCGGCAAACAGTTTGTCAAAAGGTGAATGCGACACTTCGTGTCCAAAAACTCCCCCTACAAATGCTAAGGAAGGTTCATCGGGTTGTAAAGATCTTGGATGTTGTGGTTCCACGGAAAACAGCGCTGTAACAGTCGTTCAGACGATAAAAATCAGCCGAGAACAATTAGGTCTCAAGAAACATGGTAAGAATCCACAGACTTTTTAACTCTGTGAATTTGAAATGCGAAACGCAGTTTTAACTGAAGATGGGTGATATAAAAACGCTGAAAGCATCTTACTCAAAATGATGGGTTTATTGATAACTGTACGCCATCAATCTAACAAAAAACGTTTCTCTTTCCAGGCCAGAGGATTTTTTTAACTTCAGCGCTTTCACTTTAGCTGCGCTAAACGAAAAAACGTTTAAAGAATTCCTTTATACTAATGTTATACACAAGAAGTGGTCAAGATCCAAACTTAAAGATTAAGTATGCACTTTATATTGAGCGCCACAAAACGTTTTTATTGACAGTATTTCTATTCTACATTCTGTGAGAGTGAAACTGTTTTCTACAATAAAGTGGAATACATATATGAATATACATCTGATTTCAGTTAGGACTGAAGAATTTATCCATTGGCGCGTGTTCTTCACCACCATGCAGTTTTCATTATATTTTAGTAATGGTATCTTTTTTTCTTAACCTACCTGTGAGATCATGCACCTTGCAGCAGGCACATGCCCGCCAAGAACAAAGACGGCTTTGGGAGTTTTATAGACCCTAAAGGATGCTTCAGACGGAGTGAAAATCCGGCGAAAGAAAAGCCGCGCAACCCGCAGAATGTTAACGTCATTTGCGTTAACTTCTGCGCCCAGGAAAATATAACTTATGCGGCTACCATTTCTGATCGATGCCTTTGCTTGAACAGCCTACCGTCTGAAAAGCTCGAGGACAACCAATGTACTACTCGCTGTCCAGGTAAGAAAAGTGATTAGTGTGTCACTAATTTCCTGCCAGTTCAAACCTGGAAGGACAAACTAACTATGACGCCGGTCATGAAAGGTCTTACTGATAAAAACTATATATAGCTCAGGGCCAATTGACTCCAACAATTCAGTGGGTCCACCATACAGTGGGGTTTGTTGATTTACTTTCATGATGGCTAAAAAATGTTCCTCTGATTATATGTTCTTCAATGACGTTTCATTTGCTCAGGGTATGGATCCAACGAAGATGGTCCATGCGAAGGGTGGGGTTGCTGTGGTTCTTTGGACGAGGATGCTATATCAGTGTATGAGATTGTCCCAGCAGCCTGGGATCAAGAAACAAAAGGAAACGAAGATGTGACTAAAAAGTACGAGACAAAATAAACTTGTTAAGAGAATAAATCTCAAAAATCGCACTGCTTTTTTTATTTCGTCTCTCAATAGTGTCCCACTTTTGTGTTACTGTTGGTGAAATCTCTCGTCTCTATTACTATGACTACACAAGGCTGTGCTCTGAAGCCTTCGTTCGAAAATAACTACAGTGAATGGACTTTATAGTTACCTTGTCCGCGCAGTGGTACAGACTCCAGTGACATTTATCGGCGGTAGTCATGGATGTGATGTCGTGGATCATCTTATTGATTGTGCACATCTAGCTTGGTCAAAACACGATTTAGCATGTTATAGTTATACAAAATGTAATTTGAGCAATTTAAACATCATTACTGATCAGCTAAAAAAACTTTTGGAATCGCAAAAGAGACACGATAAGAGGCCGCCAAAAACGGTAATGTTCTCTAATAAGGACCTCATTTGTGAAAACATTCAGAATATATGATTCGGTCAAAGAACTTATCGGGATTTTTTACTTGATACCTCACATTATCCATGAAGGTCCTTAACTTCTGTTACAAAACGCACCCTTATCATTGCGACAAATCAAAGAAGAGACTTGTCAAAGGTGTATTTAAATACATTCCACGGTACTTAAAAAGCCACAGTGTGTTTTCCAGATGCTGAATTTGAACAAAGATAATTTGAAAAGTTAAATCTTAAACAAAGGACACAAAACACAACGAAAAGTGTTCCACCTAGTAGCCAGACTTCCGACGATCCTCCACTCATCAGAGTTGCTATTATAGCTTTCAATAGTATTAGTCCCACCACCTCCAAATACAAACATCATATCTTGAATAACTCCCAGGCCAAAATCACGTCGTGGATGATTTGTGGAAGTTATAAAATTCCACGAGTTCGTTGCTGGGTGAAACACTTCAGCCGACTTCAAAGGAGCTTTGTGCCCATCAAGACCTCCAATAACGAAAATTTTATTCTTCATCACTGCAGACTCGTGACGAAAGCGTTCCTTTTTCATGGGCTCCACCTTTTCCCATCGGTTGCTCGCAGGATTGAAACACTCAACCGAGGCAACTGCTAGGTCCCCTGGGATTGTAACTCCACCTATAGCATACACTTTTCCCAGAACGCCAACAGCTCTGTGACAGCTCCTGCGCATGCTCATGCTGGGGAGTTGGTTCCATGTGCGAGTCGCGAGGTTGAAACTTTTTGCGCGCTTTCCGCCCCCAACAACATAAATAGAGCCCATACTCTCGCAAACGGCACAGTCATTCTCCTTTGTTCCATTTCCGATCTGGTACCAAGAATTCAATTTTGTATCATACTTTTCCACTCGAGTGCCACCTCCCAGCACAACATATAATTCTTCGTTTACGACAACAGCAGTACCAGTGGTTGGCGCCATTCCTGTTACTGGGCGACAGATTCCATTTTCAAGATCAAAAGTCTCAATCCGGCTCGATAGTTCTCCAATCAAGTAAAGAACATTTGGAGACTTTCGCCTTAAAGCTAACTTCTTTTTATTGCTTGATGGAGAAGCCAAGTCATTTATGACTTCCTCTATCAGCTTCTTCCAGTTATCTACAGCAAGAACGAGCTCGTCTTTTAAGACAATGTTCATTAAGAACTCTTTCCCCATGCAAGGGAAACGAACCAACTCAAATATACCCTACAAGATGTTCAAAAAGGTGTGTTAAAGAATGAAAGCCACGACCATGACAATGACGTGCATTTAGTCTTCTTATTTTAAGAGTAATCTTACGTCCATGCAGTTTTTTTCTAGTTTGAAATTTTCTCACTTTTGTGTGTACTTTAACTGAGGGCATTAGCTTGTTCAGCAAGTCTGGGAATTTAAGGGAAAAAATATTTAGTTTTGTGTGGGTATACACTGCATAGCAAGTAGCATCTGGGAATATTGAAGGTTTATCTGAAGGAGTCTCAAAGGAATGGCTTATAAAGTGGGTAACATTTTGGAGATAAATGTGTACAGAACAGCAGCAACAGAAAGGAAAGAGTGGGAAAAAACGAAAAAATGAAGGTATTATATAAAGTGTCCAATGCAGCATTACTTGACACTCAGTTCAAACCTATATGTTCACTATGTACCACTAGGGGCTAATAAGCTTCTTGTGGAAACAACACTCCACCTTCAAGCATTTAAAACCATGCTTCAAATCTTAAAACAGCAATCAGATCAGATACTTTAAGCCACCAAACAGTCACCTAATTGGCATATGAACATCTGTCTAATGCCCTTCAAATTTTGAATGTTTGGGAACCAGACAAGTCATGCTTGGCACCCTATTAGAACATAATTATTTCTTTGCCCATGTCCACATTTAGATGCAACTAACAGTATAACAAAGACTTGATAGAAAAAAGTCCATAATTCAAAAATAAGTGGCTAATATAATGTGACCGGATATATTACTTCTCTTCATTCTGATCATACTAGTTGGGGGGACGGGGGTCAGAATCTCCCGCTTCTCTTACCGGTTCTCCCGCCTGCGGTACATTTTTTACCCTTTGTCTCCCGACTCCTGCCCTTTATTGTGTCTCTCCTGTTATCATGTAAATCATGCTCTTTGACTCCCTATTCTAATAAGGAGTGCTTTGGCCTTGTCCAAAATAAAAAAATGTGTTGTAAATCAAACCACTTCGCACTCTCCAGCGCGATCATTGAAGTGGCATAATTTCCTTCGACACAAGTCTACACCACACAGCAAAATCTTCAGTGTTTTGTGAACTACAGTCGCACTGAGCGAGCTCCCAGGAAGGTCTTTCATGGACGGATTTTTCCCCACCACACCAAAAAATATTGAGACCAATCAAAATGGTATTTGATGACATTTGACCTGACTCGCTTTTTTGTTCTTCCGGAGAATTTTGACAGCTAGCAAGACAGACAAGACACTGACACGACTGACACAGTTGACACATGTGTACATGTGTCATGCCATTTCATTCATCTCCTATGATGTAAGTGACTGAGAAAGGTTTTTAATTTCACAGGAAGTAATGCTGTCTTTTTGTATCCCGAGTATGAATATTCATTTTTTGACTTTTCTCGCATATAAAATTTTAATTTAAGCCTCAGAGAACGTTAAATGGAAGTCCAACCTCGTCCCCAGGAACGAGGTTCAACAACTAATCTTACAAAATACAGCTTACCTGGAACCTGAATCTTTCTTCTCTGTCATACTTGTACCATCTGATCACAGCTTCATATATATCTTCCTCCATTTTAACATGCAACCGATCACTTCCCACTATCTTGCTCAACTGTTCAGCAGGAATCAAAACAAACTCGTTCTCCCGTGAAACATCGATAAAATTCCAACTGATAAAGCTGCTAACTTTTGATTCAAGATGATTCAAGGAATACTGCATTGCCAGTGACTGAATTCCGAGACAGTTTTCAACGCGGATAAGCGTTTCTAAGAAATTAGAGCATTCCTCAACTACTGAAGGGAGTTGGAACAAAGCGGCCGCGCACAGCATACTTTCTACATTGGAATCAGTGATAGTAAGCTCACAAGTGTAAAAAAACTCCACAAGTTTCTCTACGACATTTTCATCACAGTCTTGTAAGGATATTGTTCCCAAATTGCTCTCAACAAACCCAGTTGTTAGCATGGCTCGAAAATATGGGCTGCAAGCTGCTAGTATGACTCGATGGGCCCGAATTTCCCTTCCGTTTACTTTAAGCGTGACATCACATAACTCGTCGAAGGATCGCATCTCATTCATTACCAAAAAGGAGTCTTTTTCATGGTCATCCGTGATTTCTAGAACTCTATCGCCACATTCCTCAACGGCAGCCATCTTGTAAAGTGGCAGGTAATAACATAGAAACTGGGACCTTACATGGCGTAGTAACCAACTGCTGGCATACAAACATTGGAGGCTTATAATGTGAAGTGAAACATGGCAGCTGACCAGGAGACTTCAGCAAAAACCAAGGTGATTTGTGACAAGCTTGGGGAAATAGAATTAGAATGCTTTGAAATACGAAAGAGTACCTCAGGTAATTTTTACTCTCTGCTTAGAATATTATGATTTCAGTGGGAAAGTGGGGCATTTCGCTTGTGGAATCCGGAAATTTGGAATCCTGAAATTATACGGCTCGGGGAATCCGGAATCCCAGTAATAATATAACGAATGCAATCGGGAATCTAAGTTCCAATGCCAAAGAATGCGAAATCCAGAACCCGAAATCCGGAATCCACGGCATGGAAATTAAGCCTGTCTAGGATTCCCAGTTACATTGGGCGAAAGATCCTTATGGGTTTGTCATGCTTGCCCTCTGTCAGCCCCATTTGCCTCCACAAAATATCAGGAATGATCTATTTATCCTTTCCCACTCTACTAAGCAAAAAATTTTTTTTTTCATACCTTCCTTCCGTAGGGTTGATGAATTGGGGCAGGGGGTGGGGCATGGGGGGAGGAGGGGCATGATATTGAATGTGAGTAGTTAGTTAATCATACTCTGACTTTTATTGCTTTTAACCTGATAAAAGGAATGTAACCAAGCATTTGTTGTTGTTGATTTGTTGTTGTTTTCAGATTTGAAGGAACTTGAATTATTGGATAAAGTACAGGACAAGTGTAGATCTTGTGGTCATTTGCTTGAAAAATGGTAAGATCAGCCCTAGGGGCTGGAAACAGACAACAGACCTACTATGCCTATACCAAGATGTAAAAGTGGTAGTAAAAAGCCTAGTATTCTTCCACATTGATAATAATCACAGGAGTTCCATATTTTATTGATCGTCAAAACAGGAAAGATGCAGCAGAGAAAGAGGAGGTGCTGGGCATGATTCTACAGCAGTATTCACAGGTACGGTAAAGACAAAATATAGTGAGGTAGACCTGTACTTGACCTTATATGTTGTTGCTGATATAAAGAGGAAGCTAAACTGACTTTGAATGTTTCAGGCAGTTCTTGATTTAACATATGTCATAGAATGTCGACTGGTTAATGACGACTTTCCACAAGATAGAAGTAAAGAAGAAATTGGACATGTTATAGGTAACAAGAGACTGAACTAGATATAAAATCTGTCAAAATACAGAAATCATTTGAGTATCGGTTAAATAAGTGGAAGTTTGATTATTTAGTGCATCCTCTTATACCTCTGTTATTTCTATTATGTACAGCAAAAACCACTGTTCCTCAAGTTTAACTCAATAGACAATTTTGGGTTTATATCTGTGGACTATTTTATTTTAACATTTTTGTGTCTTGATTAAGGTAGGCTAGACCAACCTCAGCAACTAGTGAAGGAAACTTTTGGACAAGAGGATCAGGTAAAGGAAATAAGTTACCCTTTAACTTATAGTATCCACATCAAGTTAATCATTAGGTAGTCAATGAACAAAAATAAAAGCACCAAAGAAAAGTCATGCCTGTTAATTATTATTATCATTATTATTATTCTAAATCTGTCATTAATCCTTTTTATTTTAGTCTTTGCTTTGAATGATAGGGGGTATAGCTGAGTAATAAGAGAAGAAAAAAATAGAGATGCACTGTGTACCAAATTGGATCAAGAAACAGAAATAAGAACTCCAAAGTTGGAGCAGCATTGGTATACCTTTATGTTTCCAAAAATAAACCTCCAATATACCATTAAAATGGTTGGGGTATTGAGGTTCAACATGTTATCGCTAAAACATCAGATACAATACAGTCAAACTTGCTTTATGTTATTTATCACAACCTGCTAAACCCTTGTAAGTTTCATTACAGACTGTCACTGCCAAAAATTGTGTTGTCATGTTCAGGGATCATGCCATTATTCCCACAAAGTAGTAAAGTTATGGGAAGAAGTTAGCTAATTTCTGGTCATGATAATACCTCATAGGGTTTTAATCAGTAAACTGCAAACTGTACAGTGGAGTGAGACCTACTGGTAGTTGATCTAGCAAAGAATATGAACTTGGCAATCCAGCCATTGAACAACATAGACCTCAAGCAATGAGCTCCCAAAGACAGTACAATAATTGCAACACCCTTATTACCTCCCAATAACAAACTATGTTTTAACTGTTTTAGGCCATTCAAGTATTAGGCACAGATATGGTGGAATGTCTGTATTGGAGGCGTGGTGCTCTGTGTTATATGTACTGCCATACAGTTTTTAACAATGCTCCAAGAGTGCAGCTCAGTGAATGGGATTTCATTCAGGTATGACTCTGCCTTGAGCTAATGGCTTGCCTTGGTTATATTCTGGACCTGTCATTTCCTGGGAGAAGTTAGGTTGATTCACATGGAGAGCTATAATTATGCAGGTTTAATTGAGTACCATTGCTCCATTTTCTATAAAATTGTTGAATGTCTGTGATTGGTAGTCAATTAATCATTGATCTTTTAGGAGACAGTGAGGAGCAATCTAACAAGTTTTTTTTTCTTTGAAGGAGGTAATCTTAATGTTGAATAACACCAACCAATTCACTGCCATGACATCTTTTGTTTCACTTCTACCTTGCAGTGTGCTGAGTCAGGAGTTGTTTATCTTGAGTCAATGCTAAGTGTCCGTTCACCTCTTGTTGTGGACGAGTATGAAAACACGAAGGACTCTGAAATGGTGAAGTTTCTTCAAGAAGGTAGGTGGAGATACAACAGGTATGGTGCAACAGGATCTAACTTGCATGCTGTTAAAAAGATCTAAGAAGGGCCATTTTTTGTGAAATTTAGCGAAGCCTCGCAGATAGCACTGACTCATGGAGACCACAGATACCTCTGTTGCTTACTCAGCTGGAGAACATCACTACCTTACATGCTGCCGCCCCTTCTTACCTCTCTGGTCCCTCTGTGATTCAGTCACTGGGTCCAATTGAGTGAAACCTGTTTTGCTTTGTTTTAATTCTACTGTCAAGGCTGCTGGAGCATGTCTATAGGGCGTGGTCACTTAAAGTAGTTTATTTTTGCAGGTGTATTTAGCGATACCCACCTTCTTGCACTGATGTACGCAGGTGAGCTGTGTTACTGGCATTGGCAGATAACAAAAGAAGAAAAAGACGCAACTTTGAGGAAATTTGATTCAGTGGCAAGTGGGAGGAAGTTTCTGAAAAAATTTGTGAACATTGTCAAGGGAAATTTACAAGGACAACAAGGCTGGGACTGCTCCAGAGCTGAACAACTTCTCACTGAATTTCCTGTATCCTGATGTTTGTAACCCGGCTACTTGCATGTGAGGTCGATGCTGTTATGCCGGAACATTATCTTGTTGCCCTGTTAGATTTTAATAAATGCTGAGGACAACAGCAGCGATTAGATCAAATTCTTCACAACGCAAGGAAAGCTGAGAACACACCCAGCTGCACAAAAGAAATCTTCTCGATGAATTGATAAGAATACATATGTACTTAGCTACCGCCCTGTATTGTCACTAATGCAATTGTTGTTAAAGTCCCCGTTAGAAGAGTTAATTTAGGACAAATGTTATCAGTAGGCAGCTTAAGCAGCAACGACGCCGACGGCAGTGACAACGTCCCTAAAATAATAAATTTGAGTTCCTTTTAAACTTTATCGCGTCTATTTTAGACCCTCTCAATTTCTCAATCTCAATGTTTCCTGAGGCGAGATTCTCGGGAAACAAAATTAAATGCTTCCCTCGGGACCGGTCATCAAGGGTTTATTGTTTTGTTTTGTTTTTTGTTTTTTTACGTTGTCGTTGCAGTCGTCGTCTTGGATGCCTTAGCTCCCTATTTACTGTATTAAAACTCGGAACAACAACAATGTCTGCCGAGTTACATTAGTATGGTGTTGCCTGGAATGATAATGCCAACACCAGGGAAAACTACAATAATAATAGCAATTTTCCGCCAAGGCAGTCCAAAATAACTTTGTTAAATAATAAACTGGTTAATTCATCTTCCGCTTTAACAATCAAATATGGTCTGTTTTTTTGTTTTTGTTTTTTGTTTGTTTGTTTTTGAGAAGGATTTTTCCCTTTCCCTTAAAGTGTTAAATTTCATTTATTTCAAACGCTGAAATAAAAAAAAGTACTTTTCTAAAATAAATACTAATAGGAAAAATGTTCAAGAAAAATTAATGATGAACAAAAGTGCCATGTTGGAGTTGGAGTTTCTTTCCAAACGTTTCGGGCTAAGCCCTTCATCGGTGGAGTTACATGTACGTTAGAATCTTTATAAGGTTTGCATTCGCCATTAGTTAAAAAATAAGTGAACAAACTTTGTAGCCAGTTACGCAGGCGTTATGTTGTTAGGGGGAGACCGAACTAAACACGGGTCGATGCTCAAAGAACGTCTGCTTCTTGGGAGGCTATGAAAAAGGGAATTCCATTTTTTTACTCACTTTTATTCCATTTTTTACTCACTTTTTCTTTTTCCCAATTTTTGCGCAGTTTTCTCTATGAGCTTCAGCTGCGGAAAACTAGATTTCCTAGTCGTCGTCAGGAAATGCCGTTTTCTAAAAATTAATTAAGACTTCGCAAGAACATGGACATTATTATCAACTGCTTTGATCCAAAAGTATAATATCATATCTAATTGACGATTTTGCGAAACATTCGTATCGCTATTCTTTGTTTGGAGCATTCAAGCATTCACTCACGCGATACACCCACACTCTTGTGTTGTTAAACTGTTTAAAAACGCAACATGTCTCCAGTAGTGCTAAAAAAGGAACGGATCCCGGCAGTTTATGCTGTGTAAATCGGCACCAAGAAAGGGTGGTGAACTCTCAGATACTTTGGCTATTTTCGAGGTTCAAGCTTCACCAACCGCTAATTTCTGTTACGTTAACGTATCTTGACCGAAAGCAATAGATCAACCACCCGCGCAGTGACGTAAACGCACTGGGGAGAATGAAACCTCCTTCTTCAACTCGTTTTCAGGTTCGTTAAACACCACTGATAACCGTGAATATATCACCGCCTCAATTGGCCAGTGTGATCCTTAAAACGCAAACTTTTCAGTTAATTTTATTTCGTTGGAGGGAGAGAAGAATGTGACTTTGCGCAAAACAAAGGACTTCAGCAAAAAATAAAAGGAAGCATGTATTGAATAAACTGCAATTTAATTTTTCAAGGTTTTCATGCTGACTGACTGACGTCATTAACCGCCTGCCGTGCGGAAGTTCAATGCATAGTCAGTTTGGCGACAGCAAGGCCGGTACCATGACAATCCATGACATTGCAGGATATTTCGCGGGAAGACGTCCGTTTGTATAAGCCTCAGTAGCTACAAAAATTAACAAGTGATAACTTTGCGAAGAGACAAACACTTGATAAATTATAGTCAGAAAAGTTGCGAAATTGAAACAAACTATTGTTTAAATAAATGTTGCTTGTACTTATAAAAAGTGCTTTAAAATGAAAATCGTAACTTATTAGCAAAACGTAATACTTCCTTCAACTCGTCGTTGTGATACTTTCGTGTTCTTAATGGCAATCCGTGATTCGTTTTTAAAAATGTTTTTCTCTAAGTCTTACATATTGTATCATAGCTCAGTGTCTGAAATAGTTTTTTGTCAGGCATTTTAAACCACCCTTGGCTGACACTGGTATCCTTTTATTTCTCTTCTGGTTCGTTGGTTTAGCTTTCTTCTTTGTTACGGTGGAATTTTTTGCTAAATAAACAAAACTGCAGTATCAGAGTGAATTTGCTATGACCCCCTATAGAGTATAATATAAAACAGAACGTCAAATTTTTGAATTATCCCTTTTCCCCAACAACGGAATTAATGATACCTCAATAAATTTCGTTGATCACGAGATATCATGGTCGTAATAATTAGCGTTATAGGATAAGATTGCATTGTCATACTCGAGTCAGCATTGTTGCTTAAAAGTCAGTGAGCTCAGACTGGTGAATGGGTTTGTTTCAAGAAGAACTGTAGTCGCCCATCCACCTCACTGCAACTGACAGAATTGCATGTACAGTTGTATTAAGGCAAAACTTATATAATGGCTGATAATGGATTTGCTTTTAGGTAAACTGAACTCCAATTAACATGTATCTAAGGAAGAAAGCATGTTTACAGTATTTTGTTTTTGTTCGTCTCCGGAAACAAGTGGAACAAAAGAAATAACGGACTTTATGTTAGACTGTTACAGCGCAAGAATGATAACGAGAGGAGAGCTAATTGCATTTTCAAAATAATCAGGGTAATGGAATTGAAACTTCACGACCGACAGGCTTTAAATAAACATTTTAACAAAGGACAACATAAAGTGCTTTAGAAAGATTGTTTGTGCCTTTGTCTCACCAAGAGGCAGATTTACTTAACAAAATAAGGAAAGGCCTAAACGTTTTACACCATTTTCATAAAATCATTTCATTTACTTAGCAGAGCAAACAGTCGCATTTGAGGCACCATTTAAAATACAATAGTTTTTTGCGGTTTTTTTAGCGACTAATATCAAGTAGGGATGCTCTTTGTATTAGGCTACTGGTTGTAAATCTCTTAAACAAAGAGAAGCGTCAGGGTGACGTGAATAGGAAACGAAAAAGTATTGGCCCTGTTTTGTGAGTATTCTAATATCATCAATAACCCCCTAAAGGGACAATTAGCATTGAGGCAAGTGCATCCAGTGTATTAATAGTTGATTTATAATCTGTTGACCCGTATATAAAGGCTCGTGAACTTAGAGAAACCAGTTGACGAAATATCTTCACAAGCACTAGTTGATGAGAGTAACTGATTAGCTCCACACTGTGATGCCATAAGTGGTTGTCCTTGGTGGAATTGACAAAGAATTGAACATTTCAGCCGTTTGGGAATATCATTCAACGCGAGTAAACTGCTCGCGGCCTACGAGAGCTTCTGAGCTAAAGACTACGAGACATTGTGAGGTTTATAAGTTCACGCATTTAAAAAACTGAACTCGTCAAGTAAGATGGAAATATCCATGAATTCACTTTCTGTACCTGGAAGTAAAAGGCGGTCATTATCGACGGTAAGAATAAACAAAGAAAAGAGTCGACGATCACACTCCTTGTACAAGTTTGGACCTCTGAAAGAGAAATTGTACAATGAAAACTACCATTATTTAAGAAGGCGCACGACATTCCTCCGTATGGACACCCCAACGATTGTGATCGACTCTGCCGTCACTGAGGACAAACTTGATGATGCTGACAAGATGAACAACAATTATCTTTACGACGACGGATTCTTGCATCCTTCATATGCTTTAGATGCCGCTGTTGCGAGCAATGATTCTCGTTTGCTTCACGGTGTATTGAGTGTTGGAAACGTTATGATAGACACTTGGAATTCAAGTGGTGGAACCGCTATGCATGAGGCTGCATTTCAAGGAAAAGTGGACTGTTTAGAAGTATTTCTTAAGTTTGGTGTTCATGTGGACATTAGAGACAAAGAAGGCTGGACACCACTCCATGCGGCCGTATGTGGAGGTGACATTCGAGCTGTAATCTTTCTCATTCAGCACGGAGCAAGTTTGAAAGCGTCCACAAAAGACGGACTCACTCCAACAGAAATCGCTATGGACGCTAAAGACAAGAAAATGATTCAAGCCCTTTCGTGGCTCTCGGCACAATCCAAGCGCTTTAGAACGTAGCTAGTGTGTTGTCTATAGCTAACCGTCAAGAAAAGACTAAATTTGAACTTCTGTAACAACTCTTGAGCTATTAAAATTCGTCGACGTCGTGATTTGATAAAATCGGAACTGCAAAGGTTTCTAGACCGCCCCTGGATCAATGTAGACTGCTAAAGTCTTGCTGATGTCTTTGCTTAGAAATTTCAACCTGAACTTTCGGAAAAAAATATTCTTTAATAGTTTCGAGATAAAATCTACCCTCTTGCTCTCAGCCGCGTAAAAACCTCTTTTTGTCTATGGCCATATATGGTAATTATTTTCTCTTTAGTAAAATCGAGCTGTACGACAACTTTTAACACGTTAGAAATGGGTTTAATCAATTGTATGATTTAAATTTTAACGTTTGTTTCCCTCTTTTACTTCATCTGCAATAGATACCACCTCCTAATACGCGTTTTAAACACTGGCTGACTTATCTTAGGTATAACTATGAGTTGCCTTTTACCCACTTTGAAGTACTGGTGTTCGTATATATCGTTTTTAACTTTGTAGTTATGTAAGTTTATATGTATAATATATAATTTGGATAGATATACACTTGCAGTGTTTGTAAATAAAGGAAACGAAACTCGATAATTACACCAAGAATATTTTAACAAAAAGTGCAATATACTGAGTGCGAAAAATATAGCTTATCTAGTAAGAAATAAGAGAAGTAATAAATCATGATTTTTTTAAAAAAATAATAATTCGCGACTCACTTTTTTGTAGCCTTTGATTAATTCAGTGGCAGAATTAGACCTTCAACGTGAACTAACTAGAATCCAGTCAGATCCAGATCTTGTGAG